TCTTTCAAAATGGAGGACAGGTGGGCTGTCAAATTTGACTGTTTTAGGCCCGTATCGTCAGTCGTCCCTACAATTGTAGGGCGCGTTTATGGCCTCCTTGATTGTCATACTCCTTTCTCTCCTTCAAAAATTTTTAGATTACACTTGTCCCGTGTCAGCGTCAGCGCTCTCCTATTGTGAAGATATGTTTTCCTTTCAAATTGTAGGAAATTTCAGGCTGATAAAACATGATATAACTCAAAAGCAAGCACAATTTGATGCAAATAGATGTTTGTGACATAACCTCAAAATAGAGCACTGACATGGAAAAATAGAAAACTATGACAATCAAGGAGGCCATAAAGGCGCCCTACAATTGTAGAGCGCGTTTATGGCCTCCTTGATTGTCATACTCCTTTCTCTCCTTCAAAAATTTCTAGATTACACTTGTCCCGTGTCAGCGTCAGCGCTCTCCTATTGTGAAGATATGTTTACTTTTTAAATTGTAGGAAATTTCAGGCTGATAAACCATGATATAACTCAAAAGCAAGCACAATTTGATGCAAATAGATATTTGTGACATAACCTCAAAATAGAGTTCTGACACGGAGAAGTAGAAAACTATGACAATCACGGAGGCCATAAAGGCGCCCTACAATTGTAGGGACGACTGACGATACGGGCTTTAGGCATTGATCGCTTATACTCGTAACTCAACAACAAATCTTCAAAACGCTGTAGCGTTATACGAATCTTCTTCCTTTGGAAGTTTCTATCTGGATGTGTGATAAAATATTGAATATTCCATTTGAAGAACTGTCAATATCTGTCAACTTTTTCGATACTAAACATAGCATTACCAATTAAAAGACTGGTTATGAAGTTTTGCATTTTATCGATTTTGCACGTTTGACTGTATGATTTTCCATAACAAGTGACAATTTGATCAGCTATGATAGAAATATGTATTAAATGTTGGTATGTTTATTATAATAGTGTTAAACGGAATGTTGATAAATCGAACTAAAAAATGAAGAATAAACAATAATTTAAAAAAACTAAAAAACACGCTTTAATAGCTAAACGAACTAAAAAGTAGAAAATAATTTTTAATTACAAAGAGTTTATGTTACAGTAGTAGATGGTCGAACAGTCAGTCATAATTAATGACCCCAAAATCAAATTATAATAACATTTAAGTTATAAACAGAATAATTCAATTCAGAGTAAAAAGCGTGGGGTGAATTTTACTACATTTTGATAACTCTCTTCTGATAGATAGTTGCTAATAGAATGATTGTAATATTTAATATATCAAGCACCCCACGATTTTCACTCTGAATTTAATTATTCTGTTAATAACTTAAATTTTATTATAATTTTATTTTGCGGTCACTAATTATGATTGATTGTTCGACCATCTACTATTGTAATATAAACTCTTTGTAATTAGAAATTATTTTCTTCTTTTTAACTACGGTTAGCCATTAAAGCGTGGTTTTTTTTAGTTTTCTGAAGCTATTATTTATTTTATTTATAACTGTGTTCCTCATGGGGCTTTGAAATATTGTCCAATGAGCTCAAGTGACATTTTCAAACCACAAAATAAAAAAACACCCGTATGTTCCAAACATGGTGTGTTAATGTGATCCCGATTTAAAATCACATATGTTGGATAGCTGTAATATTAGCAGACTTCATTTAAAATTCCAGATGAGTCTAACGAAACTTTGCTGACAAAAATAAAAAATATGCTACTGGTATCATTAATATCCGTCTGAACACGAAGCGGATAAAAAAATCGATAACGCAATTGACTATGGAGTTATGCGGAGTGTTCAAATGTCAAAAAGAACAGTCCACATAAACATAGATCTGGTAATGCTTAGTTTTCCTGATACAGAGTAAATTTCGTTTCTCCGTATAAATTGTATCATCCCTTTAGCCGAAGGTATGAAAATTTGTTGAGTATTCACGGACGTTTCGCTGGAAATCTAGATTAAATCGAATAAAAAAGCACGAACTGAACAAAGGAACTTTAATCCTGAGATCTAAATGGCCGTGGCAATTTGTAATTTTTATTAAGCGTTTTTTAATGATGTTAGTAAAATTTTCGGCGGTATGTCTGTACCTGCTGTGTTAAGACTTTCAAAAAACACATTTTCAACTAATTTTGTCACACTGTGTGTTGAAAATGATGCATTACTAGACCCATGCTTATATAAACTTTTCTTCTTAAAATTGCACAAGGAATCATTCATTGAAGTTTGTTCAGGTACTTTGTCAATAACAAGTACATATACATATATCACTAATATTACGTAACTCAAAAGTCATAGGTGAATGTCACACGCTCAGTATTCATCACTATTTATCACGGACTGTGAGATATATTGATCGTGTAGGCAGGACGTCAGTAACCATTGATGCACAGAAATTCACTGACACTGACGGAATGAACTATAAATACTGATCGTTCGGACCTCAGTAGATACTAATCATGTGAGATTCGCCTTAGGGGGTGTGGATGGCAAACTGGTGTTACCCACTTTTGCTGCACAACTTGATATGTGTCTCGTAACTCCGTAGCCCGCTTTACTGAGCCAGTTTTGCCGTTCACATTGGTAATGGTTGAGATGTATAAATATGGTAAGAAGTTGAATTCTGAAAGTCTTTTTTTTATGAGTTGCCATTGACGACTTGGAATCGTTCTGTACGTATATTTTAATGAAGTGTGATAAAGAGCCTATTTGGGAGCGTTTAGATCTGAGCACGCACGCACTGATCCACCGCGAATGCTCAAGTGTAAACGGCTATGCGCGCACGCTCATCCTGTATCTTCATTTGCGCGAGCAACAGCGAACGCGATCCGCCTCTTGTCGGAAGACGTTGCTCAAAGGAATGAATGGGTTCGCGAATGCTCGGTGTGGACGGAAACGACAACGCGGCGCACAGGTTTAAAGAGTTGATTGTATTTAATCCAGTAAATGATGTAATGGAATAATACTAAAGTTCTAAAACTCTTGTATTATTCAAAGTCGAAAAAAATGGTTCATTGAAACAACTAGTAATCAATTGTAGCATTAAAAATTGCGAAGCACAGAAAAAAATTAAAAGTCTGATGGGATCATTTCGTCTCGAAAAAAAGGCAAAATGAAGATTTTGACACTCAGAAAAGATACTGCAAGCTGCTGTAGGAGTCTCCACTTGCCAAAACAATGCAAGGTTAGGGCTAAACGTTTTCTTGGTGATATAGATGTTCGAAATTGTGTATCAAATTTCATTGTCGTTGGTGTATTCGTAAGCAGGTAATCAAAGTCAGCCTTGGTCACTCTTGTAAACTTTCTGAATTGATCATACAGACTGTTTAATACTAATTCCTTTCATTTCTGATTTTCTTTCATTTTAATTAAATTATACATTATAATAAATGTTGCCTGGGCTATATGTCTACGAGGGATGTCTTTTAAGTTTTGCATAAAGAAACATAGTAGGTCGCGCGGATCGAACGTCAGTACTGAATCTTCACAACAATACGTGCAGTGTTCTCACTACAATGAATTTTTAAGTGTCACCAAGTCATTAAAAAAACGGAACTCAACCGAGAACATTTTCGCGCCATAATTTATTACAACTTTCAGAGACAATTATCGCAACAAGAATGCCTTGCTGAGTTACTGTCTGTTTTCGGCAACGAAACGCCACATCAGTCGACAATTTCCCGTTGGTATGGAGAATTCAAACATGGACGGGTGAGACTTAGCGACGATCCCAGGATGGGTGCACCAAAAACGGCAGTCATCCAGGAAAACGTCGATGTTGTGCGCAAACTCATCATTGAAGATAGACATGTGACATATCGCGAAATTGAGGCGTCCTTGAAGATCTCAAAGACCTCAATCCAAAAAAATTTACATGAAGAATTAGGAGTAAGAAAAATAGTTTCTCGTTGGATACCCCACCTGTTGACTGACGAGCAGAAAGCAGCCAGGGTTAATTGGTGTCAAAAAATGCTTGACCGTTTCAATTCCGGAAACTCAAAAAATGTGTACAGCATTGTTATTGGTGATGAATCGTGGATTTACTGTTATGAACCAGAAAATAAACGACAGTCGGCTGTTTGGGTGTTCCAAGGTGAAGAAAAGCCAACAAAAGTCATCCGTTCTCGAACTGTTTCGAAAAAGATGGTCGCGACATTTGTGTCAAAAGCGGCTCATATTGCAACAATTGCTCTTAATGAGCAAAGAACTGTTACTGCGGATTGGTATACCATCATTTATTTGCCAAAAGTCATCACCGAGCTTCGAAAAATCAATCCCGAAAATAGAATCATCCTCCACCAAGATAATGCAAGCTCGCACACAGCCCAAAGAACAAGTCAGTATTTAACGGAAGAAAACGTGGAATTATTGGACCATACTCCATATAGTCCCGATCTAAGTCCTAACGATTTCGTTACTTTCCCGAAAATTAAAAACAGACTGCGTGGTCAAAGGTTCCAGTCACCAGAAGAAGCAGTTAACGCATTCAAAAATGCCGTTTGGGATCTGCCAGCAAAGGAGTGGAATAAGTGCTTCGAAAATTGGTTCGATCGCATGCAGATGTGTATTAATCTTCGTGGAGAATACTTCGAAAAACAATAAAGTCATTTAAAACTACCTACCGCGTTGTTTTATTTCCATATGCAACACTTAAGAGACATCCCTCGTATTCTCCATGTTAACCTCGTACGAGAAGGACTGGTTCAGTCCATGCGTTGACAAATGAATTTTAGTTTAAACACCCTCCACGCACGCGAACGAATGCTTGCTCATATGTAAAGGCACCTTTATGTTTCTCTATCTATAATATTTTCTTCAAATAATATTTTGAATATGCAGTGATATTGAGTTGTCATCGTCAATCGAAAAAGTATGGACTCTGACTTTGAGGTGAATATATATATGAACACGACCGGTTACAATGAAATCAGAAAAAGTCAACATTCGAAGATAACATCATTTTTTAATGGTGTTATCACCGTTGTGATAAAGCGTATGCTATATTATAGCAATTTCTCTTATCTTTGTCCGACTAAGACTTACAGACGATACACCATAACAATTAATGTCTTGATAACAAAGTACATAGTTTTATTCGTTCATATTACCCGCATACACGTGGAGACATTTTAGTGGATGTGAATAGTCGGTGTAACAACATGTGAAACAGTTTTGTATAATTCGTCATGTAAGTTTTCCACTGAATTCTGGTATATTCGATAGGAAAAGCCCAATTATCAGTTAGACATTTTTAACCAGGCTTTCAAATATGTATGTTGTTTATATGGTTCAGCAGTAAACTAAAACGGCAACAGTGCCCTCTCTTGCTCAAGCCTATAGTTTGTTACCCTGGTAGTGTTTATTAACCAGGACTATTGAAAAAGATTGTGATGCAACCCAGCGGAGTTGCACACACTAGCCATGGGAGGCCAACGTTACCCTATAATGGATTCTGGGATTGACGGGACAGCTAAGCAGTCGCAAAACAGGTGCTTTAGTGTTTCACCTTCATGTTCACATTCTCTACAACAGAGGTTCTCAAATGTATCTCATCTACTGCCCACTTTAAGAATCACTTATTTTCTAGCGCTCCTCGAAATTAATTTAAATATACTTAGTATGTTACACACAAATTAGCCATCGCTTGGCACCCCCAAAATCAATTCATCGCCGCCACTCCCAGTTTTTTCAGGGCTTCTTACTCCCAAGTTTGTGGAATCGTGGTGTAGGGACGTCGATCTTTCTGTTAATGCTGGAAAGACCGAGCTGATCCTATTCACTAGGAGAAGAAGGCTTGACGGGCTGGTCATGACGACCTCCTTTGGGACTAGATTAGTCCTATCCCAATCAGTGAAATATCTGGGAATTATCCTGGATTGCAAAACTGAACTGAGAGAGCATGTTGAATACAAGTTAACAAGGCTCGCAATTCAATGTGGGTCTGTAGACGGGTTGTCGGTGTAAGGTGGGGGCTTAAACTCAAAGTGGCACACTCTACACGACGATAGTACTCTTTTGTACGGCTCCTTGGTGTGGTGGCCTTGCATTAGAACTGAGACAACTAAGGCCACACTCAATAGAATTCAGAGTTTGGCCTGTATTAGCATTACAAGTGCTGTGTGAACAACGCCATTGAGTGCAATGGAAGCTCTGCTGGATCTCCCACCGTTGGATCTAGTGACCCACGGTGAAGCGAGACAAGTCGCTCATGGACTGTGGAGTCAGGGCAGCTGGGCCTTCTTGAATCAAGGAGCATACTGCCATCTTAGTCGAACTGCAAAGGGAGGACCCTGCCCTTCTAAGCAGGGGTGATCTCATTACCCCAAAATATCGCTTCAACCTCAAGTTTAATGTGAAGTATCCGACGAGGGAGGAGTGGGACGCCGAAATAGAGAAGTATTTGCAGACACCTCCGCCAGGCACGGGAACTCATTGTAGGGCCCAGTGCTAAGGATGGACATTTCTGCTTATCTCTGGATAGAGCCAACCTAAGGTTGCTGCTGGGACTGTTGTCTGGTCATAACACGTTAAGGCGCCACCTGCACGTGATGGGGGTGTCTGAGGATCCCTTGTGTGAGCGCTGCGGGGTAGAGGAAGAGACCTCGGCGCACGTTCTGTGTCGCTGTGAAGCTCTGAGCTACTATAGGCAGACTATACTGGATAATTGGACCCTCAGGACGTCAAGGAGCTTGGACTCAAGGCCATACTCAACTTCGCTAGAAAGGCGAGACTTGAGATCTAAGGAATGTAGAGGTGCATAAGGGCCCGTTTAAGCGGCCTATGCACTGGCTCCTTATACTGACCGGAATGCCTCTAATTTCAAGATTCATTCATTCATTCACTCCCAAGTTTCCGTAGGTCCCCAGCGCCCGCAAGGGGACATTCGCCCATTTTGAGAACGACTGTTCTACTGCCTCATCCGGCATAATTTTGAATACATACTGTCGGTCCCTTTGATCGTTGTATACCCACCTATTTAATAACTATCTGTTAACTGAAACTGCATATGCAGGATTGACTGTTTATTGACGTTTCGGTCACTTTTTTCAGTGCAAACCAAAAATGACAATGGAAATATATTGTAATATTTACCTGTCTCATACCGCTTTATATCTGACAGATAAATATAGAATGCACTATATAGATAATAGATCAAATAGAAGTTGTAACAGGCTATTGAGCCTATAATAGCCTAGCGTAAAAATATTAAGAAAATAAACCTTTACTAGGATTGCGTGGAACCTACAGCTTCAAATATGTTTTGACTAAAAGATCCAAAAACCAGGCATTTTAACCTTCAAAATTCTCCTTTTAGATCCTCAATACGTCCATTTTACTTCCTACGCCATAGGGTGAAAAAGGAGGAAAAAAAATCGCTCCAATTTTGTTTTTAGATGTTTCAAAGTCTCCCGAGCATGTTCGAAAAAAATTTGTAGGGGGCGAAAATTGGGAATTGGGGGTTGTAAATTTTACGTCTTTAGTATTGGTCAAAGACGTTCTATCATTAAGAAGCTTTTGATTCTGGTAACACCGGTAAAATTAAATGATAAAAGCTCAATTCGAAATATCTCGCAATCGTTGTCGTTGGGTGCCACTGCCGACTTAATTTGTTTTACTCAATGGATATGATGGTTCTCTCAATATTTTGTCAAGTAGATTGACTTAGTACTTATTATGCGTTGATATACAATAGACACGGATTGACAAGCAGACATAACAAGACTTGCAAACTGAAGGTGAATACTATCGCGAGTTCAATACTTTCATCTTTTAGGTTTAGGTAGTCGAAGATTTTGAAAATTGATTCAGTGGCGGCGGAACTACGGAAAAAAAATAAAAATCGCTGGAACATAGTATACTAAGTGACATATAAATCCGAACACCCAGTTTTAAATGGTTTTATTTTAATAAAAGTTGGTGAATGTATTTATCTTACTGTAAATAACAAGTGAAAAAATTTTCAGCCTTATCAGTTGGACATTCCGGTTTTTATACTGCTTTTTTTTAATTCACTAACGCTCTAAAAATGAATATTTCAGCCGCAGTAAAGAATCAACGTTGGCGGATTTTGGTTCTTGACATCCTTTACGATCGGTTACGATGCCTAGAGTACGAAGACCTGTACGATTTCGTCAACTTAGTGAGTTTTTTCGGGCAATTGCAGTTAGAGTGCAAAGAAGTGTAGACACTGTGGTTAGGTGTTGTCAGGCATGGCTTCGACAAGGCCGTACGCAAAGATCAAGGGGCACTGGACGCCGCCGTAGAACAACAGACCGTGAAGATCGCCGTCTAGACAACGGTCACTCTGGGATCAGGAATGGAACAGAATGGTCTTTAGTGACGAGTCTCGATTTTGTTTAGGCATGCACGATGGTCGTGCCAGGGTTAGAAGGCGACGTGGTGAAAGGAGGAATCCACAGTTTTTTGTTGAAAGACATGTTCATCACACTATTGGAGTTATGGTTTGGGGTGCTATAGCTTATGGTTCCAGGTAACCTTTAATCTTCATCAGAGGTAACATGAACGCGCAGCGTTATATCCACGAAGTTCTAGAACCCCATCTTTTACCCTATCTTGACACCCTGGCAGATCCAACTTTCCAACAAGATAATGCCCGACCACATGTTGCAAAAGTCACAATAGACTTCTTTCAACATAATGATGTCACATTGTTACCATGGCCACTAAGATCTCCCGACTTATCCCCAATTGAGCACGAGTGGGATATGATGGGTAGGAGATTGCTCAATTTGCAACGTCCTCCTCAGACTCTAGAATCACTTCGAGAGGAGTTGGTGGTTGCCTGGAATGAGATACCACAGGAGGACATTGACCACCGGATCAGAAGCATGCCTAGGCGCGTTGGAGAATGCGTAGCACATCAGGGTGCATCCACACATTATTAAAGGTCAAAAGGCTTTAAAGCAGTGCAATCATTTTTAAATTTTTATCATTTACTTATTATGCTTCATTAAGTACTTATACAAAATTTTATTAAAATAAAACCATTTAAACTGGGTGTTCGGATTTATATGTCACTTAGTATATTATAATGCTTCAGAGATTTCTGTCTATTTGACTATGCTTGAAGGGGTTGAATATTGTAGGTTGCAAGCTGTATGCGGTAAATGGTTGTAAATTTTGGAATGTTAGATGTATCTTATATAGTTTGATATGTAGAGGTCGAACATTCACCCTAGCTAACTGAACCTACCTAATAACGATTCGATTCCGCCTTTTGAAACGACTTGACTTATCCGTTTTCTTTGTAACCTCCAACGAAGGTGTAGAAGTGTAGAGTCAATCTACTTGACGCTATTTTTTGCTGAGATACAACACTTCAAATAATCACTAAAATTTTACAATTTTCATTTGATCCCTTAATTTTTTCCATTAGTGTATATTGTCGTTGTTATTTTTGTCAATCCAATATGTGGTTCCGTTAAACGGTCAGAAAAACATGGATACTTATCAGCTTGAAAACTACAGGATATGTTTCAGATGTTACATTAACATATTATGTAGTTTACTATTTACTAAACAATCTATGTGACAATCTAACATACATGATTCCACTTTTTTCAATGTCCCAAATAAACAAACTAATGTTTCCAATATGTCATCATCTCAGAGATACTTGACAAATTTAAATTGAAAACTCCAGGGAAACCTATTGGTATACAAAAATAGAAAACTGTGCATAGTGCAGGAAGTTTATGTGTGTGCGATTTTTTCGCTTCAATATCAGATTCGTTTATATCTCCTTCCATATTTCACCTATCCTGCTGAGTTTCCGTGCTCTTTGAAGTGTGAGAAAGTCAAGTGTCTGCCCTACATATAAAAGTGGATGGTGCTTTCGGTCATAGACGGCGCTTCTAGAAGGGATCTGAGCTTTTACATTAAAATCGGTACGGGTATTACGTACCTTGAAAAGTGTCATCTCATCGGTTTTTTGTGACATAACGTAGGTTTTTCTATAAGATGTTAACTTAGCACAAGCTGTTGTATTCGTTTGGTTGCTTAAACTTCAGCGAACAGCGATCGTAGTGAGCAAATGTGGAATGAACTATTTGCACACTAAAAACTACATAGCCTGCAAGATGACATTTCGTAGTTTTTTTTTTGAAGTTTTTTAGGTTTTTACTTAATATCGCTGCTGGGTGTTTTTACAACTTTATCACGTACTTTAGATCGCAGACATAGTTCCTGAGATATAGAATTCCTGAATGCAATCAACAATGACTGAATATGGTTCCTAGTGTTATACAACTATCTTCTTTAAATGTCATATGGGAAAAAGTTACATAATCTTTGTAATCTAATGTAAATAAAAAGTAATCATATTTGGGTGAATTAGTAGTTCTTTGTTCTGTACTTAGATTAAAATGATCTTTACAACCATATGAACTAGTTTTCCGTTCTTCATCCATACTTCTGTTATTCTTTTAATTAAAAATAAAACCTACAAAATGGGACTTTTCGAAACCTGCCAGCAAATTAACTAAAAATACAAATGACAAATCATGAGTTATGACGTCACTGCGAAAAATACTGATATTTCCATCAATGAAATATGTGTTTACGGTATTATATTGCCGTAAACAATCGAGAGAAGATACAAAGAACATATTTCCATCATATTCCTTCATTATATCCAAAGGCCGTGTCTCGATACAAAATTTTGCCTTGTCAAACTCCGTCACCCCTCGCAGAAGTCAGTGGTGTAGGTGGGTTATAAAAGGTTTTCCTAACATGTGGATGATATGTTGTTTTCCTTTCCTGAATCGTTTTGGAAAATCTATGCATAAAGGGGCAAATTCGTAGCTCGACTAATAAAATCAGAATCACGAATCATGGGGAATTTTAAAATTACCTAATATGGCATAGGGTACCAGTTTTGACTTTTGAATGTCTACTTGACTGCTTCGTCAAAATGACCCTTTAAAGAAGTGTGCGGATCACTAACTTTCCAAGGTATCACGTCACCAAGGTGTATAAATAAATGGCAACATTTATACCTACAGTAGTTAAACGGTGTATGAATAGTTATACCTCAGAAAAATATATGGATGAAAAAAGAAAAAAGAATCTAGCGATGTTTTTGATTAGATGATGATAAAAAATGAAATAAACTAACATAATGCATCGTACGCCACTGTTAACGCCGTGTGTCTTTTAGTACGATGAGGCCCGCGCACAAATACACAGAGACATACCGCCGTTGTAGTGACCAGTGGCGCACGACGCTGTATGCTACTCTCTTCCATTTTGCTACCCAAATATACAACAGATTCGCCCTAATACTATTTTTTTTTATTGTTTCAGAAAGTATCTCGTGGATCCGGGAGTCAGTGTCTGCCCGCCACGCATGGCCGGTCACATGTCCAACCAGCAACCGCCTTTGACCAGAACCATCATAAGGAATCCGCGCATGCGCAGCCCCACAAAGTCCACACGCATGAAACGCGCAGTAGATCATCAACGAATAAAACACCAACAACTGCGACTGGCTTCATCGCGCAGGTACCACCAATAGCTATTCGTAAATCACGAGCGCTTATGCTCGCATTTCACATAGGATTTTTTCTAAAAGTGCAGAACACTCCAAATAGCATTATGCCAATACCATTGTTTCATAGAAACAGTACTCTAAGGTTGGCTACACTTTTTCGAAATTCCGATTCGGAATTGCACATGAATATTAGACTTTTTCTGTGAAAATATGTCAACTATGCTTTTTTGCACCCAACTTCTGCTGCTCACTACCTGTCTACAATATTCCTATTTGTTTCTGGTTCCTCTTGAAGAAATATCTGTCTCGAGTGACACTATCATGTGACAAAAATCGCTTATTGGGTGGGGCGAAGACGAACTTGCCCTACTGGCATGAAAAATTCAAAAATTTGCTTTGACTAACCACGTCACTCGTCAGCCATGGCACCACGACAGCCGCCACCAACTACGAGTCATCGCCATCAGCAAGACCGCGACATAGGTATACCCAGAGGCGTGTGTGTTGAAAATATTTTCTCATCAAGTTTTGAGATCAAATCTACGGGGAAATCTGAAGTGTATGAATAACGTTTAATAAGTGCGTGATTACCGGAATATACTAAAATCAAAAAATTGAGATATACCCTCCCCCACTTCCACAACCCCAAGCCCCAAATTTTAACCGTTACAAAAACTTTCTGAAAATGATCAAGAGCTTCTGAAAGGTCAAAAAATTTGAACGATTCTTATTTTTCCGCTTTCCGCCATTATTTCCGCCGCCACTGGACACGGCTTTTCCAGAACTACATAGCTTTCTCGTCATTGGCATAGTAGGAACCTTGTGTGAAAATTCCAACAAGATCTGACCGTTACTTTCTAAGTTATAGACGGGCCAAAAATACGCGAACAGAGAGACAGACCGACCGGCGGAAATAAATGACATCGTTTTTCGTGATGTGCAGGTCGTATAACATACAATTTCAGATTTTTTCGCGATTACAATTCTGGAGTATATTCCAAAAAAAAAAACAATTAGCACTTGTATAGTCTAATTAGGGTATACATGGAGAGATGGGAAACTCCGGTCTTATTCTGAGACTACTAACCCGAGAAATTGCCATTATTTACCGGATTTCTTCTGCTAGGTAATTAATGATAGTGAAAATAACCATACGTAAATAATGAATCTGTGCATTCATGTAGACATGTAGAGCTTCTTTAGTTTGCTGGGCACATAATTTTTTCACTAACATTAAATCCTTTGTCCATTTTGAGTATTTGTAATAATTATTGATACACGTCACTACAGAGTCTATTTTATTATTTGAATTATTGCTGTTAATAGTATTTATTTATCTCATCATTTTGACAGCTCGGAAGTGCATGTCATTTCATAATTTGGAGCATTTGAAAATGAGCTTGAAACGTACATATCTAGCATCTCCTATCTTTGTGTGACTCTTATCATGTAGCAGCAGAGACCCCTATCCTACGAACCGTTTTGTGATCCAGACAGTTCGCGTCGGACAGCGTCGACGGACGTTCAAAATATTCTCAGATATGCTATATTTCAAAGACTAATCAAATTAAATTTGTAAAGATTTAGTAGAGAAAGAAATTCAATACATTTCTCGGTGTAGAAGGCCATTATTGGCTTTGTACACTTCTCCACGAGAGTATGTAATGTACTATTTGAGAAATGTTGCTCATAAAAACATCATTAACTAGCAACAAACCTTCAATAATAGATGTTCTTTGTTCATTTGAATTTTTCCAGTATTGCGTGAATCAAGAAAATGGCTGAAAAATTTAGTTTGTATATATAGGTTGTTTTATGATTTTTAGAAACTAAATAATATATGAGAGTGCTAGAGAAGATTCTGTATATAGGGTTGCCGGAATAAGTGAATGTTTGCGATTCATATAGGATACAAAAAAATAATGACATTTCTGTAAAAAAGGTCTTTTGGGGCTACATCACGGGGCTTAAGAAAAACGGGCCATATTTCTAGAGGAAACGTAGATCCTATGTCCCGTTACCAAGATTCAGGATGTTGAAAATTTCTACGCTACTGATAAGACTGAATAAGGAAAAAGATGAACACTGTCAAATTATCGCTTTGGTGAGTTATGGCTACTCTTCTAAAACAGTACATACAATTTCCACTGTCAAACTTTATTAACATCAGCTTATTTTCAAAAACGGGTTGGAATTTTGTACACTGATTTTACCTCAAATATTCATACAAGGCTTTCTCCAAAAGCAGTAGTCAGACAAAAATTTCTTAAGATTCATTCAAAAATGCAATGTTTCTCAAAAGTCAGTGACGTAGAAAATAATGTTCTCTTTTCTTCTGTTACATTTCCCTATTTCTTTGCCCATGGTGTAGCCTTAGTAACGACAAGTTTTGTACTTATTGGCTATAATGTCCACTACGCGCACAAAATTTCAAGTAGTCAATATTTTTCGATTTCGAAATTGTAATTTCTACAATATGTATCTAGGCAAAGCATTTTAGGACCGATGGTAACATAACGAGTTATGTGTTTGATGTGAGAGTCTAGTAGATGTTAAAATGTCCAATTACAGTGTCATCCACCTGCTATTTAAGGAAAACCAATTTTCAGCAGTCTCCTTTAAACGGGTGTATCTCTGATTGGATATGAATGTTACATTATTTTTTGATTCATTTTTTAGATTTGTACCGTGGAAGGAATTAAACTCATCTAAATCCTCTGTATTTCCCGCTGGATAAATCGGCCAAATGTATTCCATTTTTTATTCCGGATACCAACACCCGATACCAATAAATCGAGACTATACATTTTATGTGAGCATCGGAGAATAAAGGTGCTATCCCTCGAATAATCTATCCCCACATGGCGGAAGCTGTGGCAGTAGCAGGATTAAAATGCGTGGCCAAACTTATTACATTACGGTTAAACTTATTACGTCAGAGCTTTTGTACGAACTTTTATGATTGAATATTGGAGGATTAATTTTACCATTTTTCGTTTGTAAACGGAAAAAATGCCAATGGTATACTTGAACTAAAACATCAATATACCAACAGAATATTTACAGGGTGTTTCTGAAAGACGTGCCAATTATTTCTAGGGTGGAAAGTACATATAAGAATAACAAGTTCTACTTTAATCCGAGATACGGGGTTTTGAACTTTTATTTACGAAATTTAAAAGAGAGAGTTAGGATTTTAGACGTTCAGTGAGCACATCACCAATAATAAACACACCGAGTTTCCCGGCCCAAGCTGAACCCGGGACGTAGAAAATGAGGTACCTAGACCCCTAACAGGAAATATTTTCTAGGCCACTGGTCTTTTTGAAGTGCATGTTATAAAATACCATTCAATTAGTAAATCCTAAAATATTCTTATGAAAGGGCTAATCCTCCCCTTTTCTGAAAACACCGAGAATCTTGATATTGGAATCACTATATGGCATGTGAAGAAAGCTATGGCACCTCATTATAACATTAATTGAATAATATGCTTGTCTTATCCTCAATCAGTAGCGTAGAAGCTTACTATTTATTAAACCTTGTCTATGCACGCCACTGGTCTTCATGATATACTTCTCATATTAAATTCTTCTGTTTGTCTAAAATCACAATTAGCAATTGTGGAACCAATCAATTTGAGCAAAATTCTTATTATTCTTTTTACTCCCACAGGTATTGAGATCCCCATGCATATTATCCTTATCTTGGACATCCTATAATTCTACATGAATCTGAAAATGGCCACATGTTTTAGACCGCCCTCTGTAAGATACGATTATGGGATTAACAGACGAGACGGAGAGAAGATTCATATAACCGTATTAAATATTTCAGGCAGTTCAAGAGAGACTTGCAAGAATGGCAGACAATAACACCAGCAACGACGTCGACATCGCTAGATTGCCGTCATCGGAGAGCGAAAGTGGCGAAGGCGACAAAATAGAGGGGAAGGGGGGTATATTAGGAGCGGAAAGCCCCTGCGATGGGGAAGGGGTAAATGGGGACGTGCCCTGTCATCGTGACGAGGGCGACCAGGAGCCGCTGGTTGACTCCAAGAGCCCTAGGAAGGCCACGCCCATTAGGGGGGGAAATACTGGGAAAAGTAAGTTATTTATTTAGTACCTTTCTGTCCGATAAAGGATAACCATTAACAAAAATATAATGCTTTGAGCTTTGACGTTGTGTCGTCTTTTCGGATACCCAGCAATAGTAAAGATAAATGAAAATATGGTTCATCTACGGTAGCCATATTTACATATCTTAAACTAGTAATTTAAATTTGTTGTGAATAATGTTTCATTATTATGAACATCTGCTGGTAACTTTTACGGTTAAATGAAAGAGTAACTAACGCTAAATTTCGCAATTTAAGTATTACCTTAGCTGTATTACAACGTTGTGAAGCAATAAATAAATACGTCTATCATTATGATTATTATTAATTCCGAGGGAAACCGCGAGCATCTGTCGGCATGGCGTAGTATCCCGCCATCCATGACAATAAATATAGCCATGGGATTTTTTGATAAGCGAATATCTGTTGCCGCGGTATCCCACATTATGCCTTCCAATACCCCACGAAGCATGAAGGATGTTCAACTCTTACTACAGTATACTTCGTCACTCTACAACGGACTCGAGTCAGTCGAACTTTTGGAGAAATGATGATATTTTTAGAATTTGTCTCCCCGACGGTATTTGGAACTTCCAATACAACCATTTATATGGATGTTGTAGATTTCCATTGAGTGTAAAATATGATTTTTGTTCGTGGTTATCCTATAGTCTGATTCACATTGAATTTTTGTAAATATACAATCTCATCTGTCTGCCTTCCCTACGCTTCAACATCTTATTGCTAATTTTGTCTAAACATATTCCATATAACCAATTTTATCTGCATGCTGCTTCATATTTCATAGATGAGTCCTTCCATGAGATATATTTTTTAACTGATTATGCAAATGAAAGCTCTCAAATATTTTTTCCAAAATGAATGAATTTGTTTCGAAGTAATTTAGGTGGCAATTTTTATTGCTTCTATAAATTTTTACTTATTTGTAGATTGTAAGCGAGGCATAAAGTGTACATAAAACTGTCTGTAGAATTGTATATTCTCAGATTTGGTTTTTGAAGTATGACATTTAAGAAATATGAGTACTTCTCTCTCTCTCTCTCTCTTGGTGGGCTTGTAACATTCTGAAAATTACAATTCCTGATCTTTTGATTCCAAATTTACGTCGATACATGGTGTCTTACAGTGGCCCAGAACACCAAAAAACTGACAGAAATACAATTTCTCCGGTATGTATTCGGTTTTCATTACAAAAGTTTTTTTGAGTCACCGCAAATCCGGTGTGTTCATGGGGGGATTTGAAGGCCACTTAAAGGTCATATCAAGGGTATTTAAAAAAAGCCGAGTAGTTGAGCACAACCGTATGTCATTTAGGGTTTACTGAGGGCATTTTAAAGTAATTTAAAGGTCACCTCACGGACAAAATTAAAATAAGTCTAGCATCCCAGTCTATTGTTGTCACAGTGGTTTTCGCGTTCGTTGAGTCCAAAGCAAATAATAGTTTGTCTTTAGTAACGAACTCTCACCACCATAAAGTAAGCGAGAACTGATTGTTTATCTAGTAGTACTTCAAGGTCCATACACAGCATTAATCCCAATTTGGACAAACGGCGGAACCTCATTAAAAACCTCTCTCGATCATACTAACATAAAAAAGTAGGCGAAGAGAATAATATACAATAATTAACACCTTTTTGCACCAAATGCTTTAGATTTATGTAATTTATTTGCAAATAAAACTCTGAGTATAGCGTAGCACTGAGAAATTAGATGGCTTACGTGTTCAACAAATCCATAATAATACCTAGGTTCTTCGAATGATCCACAGGTACTATTTTAGTACGAGTACCTCTTAAATTTATGTTTATGACCTTTTTTAAAGCACTCCTTTTTATTTTATTTATGGTATAGCAAATCTGACTGTCGTTTGTAAAAAGTATGCTGCATGATTTTACCTCTGTTTCTAAATCTGAGATATATAATAAAAGTAACAGGACTCCTAACACATATCCCTCTGGTACACCAGAACAATTTTTTGTCCGGTAGAGTACTTTTTGATACCGATTTTCGAGTTAGGTTTGAATAAACGAAAGATGTTTATCAGAAAATCCATAATAACTGCATTTAGACACAAGAATTGAATGATTAATTGTATCAAATGTAGTCCGTTATATATATATATATATACAAAGAGAAAATTATCATGCGGAGAAAGGTATATAACAAAAATAGAAAAATAGTAGCGATACGTATTTCTGCTGGTTGGCTTCACCAGGCCCGAAATTTTGTGGACTTCGTGTGTCTTTTTTTTCCTCTCCATCTTCGTTTCCTCAGGTTACACCCGTATCCGGATGTGTGGGCATGTGTATCTACTTTTGTAGTTGCATATGTGCATTCATTTCGGGCCTGATGAAGCCAACCAGCAGAAATACGTATCGCTCGGGTTACCTATCCTATTTTCTGCTCGAATCCACTTTCCTCCTTTTTGCGGATTTTGCCCATTATTTTCCTACTTGTTGTTATATACCTTTCTCCGCATGATCATATTCTCTTTGTAGATCCTTTGGGCTTGAAGTACCACAGCAAGTGGCTATAACCGGCCGCGTGGTGGTGGTTAGACGTCTCCTTGAAAATTCAAGGTCTTCTAGCCGTTTTATACTACAATGTGTAGGTTGGCTCTTGTTGTGGACTTCGTGTGTCGTTTTTTTTTCTCCTCCAACTTCGTTTCCTCAGGTTACACCCGTATCCGGATGTGTGGGCATGTGTATCTACTGTTGTAGTTTCATATGTGCATTCATTTCGGGCCTGATGAAGCCAACCAGCAGAAATACGTATCGCTCGGGTTACCTATCCTATTTTCTGCTCGAATCCACTTTTCTCCTTTTTGCGGATTTTGCCCATTATTTTCCTACTTGTTATATATATATATATATATATATATATATATATATATATATATATATATATATATTTCAAAATAATGGCAGCTTTCTGTTACATCAAATGAAAGTTCGTTTTCCCTTTATTGTGATCCATATTCAGATGTTGAAAAAAATTCAACACACAACACAACGGATGATACAGCAATTTTACAATTTTAATATTTTGACCACGAAAGAACGATGCCGTAGAACGTAAAAATATACCGACTTGTAATTAAATGATATTACCCCTAAATATGGATAGATATAACTAGAAATATCGATCTGACCTTCTGACATGAGCTATAATGAAATATAACAGCATGCTTTTTTACAGTAGCTGATACAAAAGGAACTTTTTTCTTTTACTGCCCGCTTTGCGGGAATATACGACGATAAATCAAAGTTTCTCACTTAAAAGGCAAACAATACGCATTTTGCTACAATATCTATTTATATCTAGTTCAGCTTTATAGCTCTACGGACAGGCCTTTAACGCTCTATATCAGAAAACTAGGACACAACTATGAATGCTTTCGCTTGAGTTATACTGCTCTCCGCTTTATCAGGATCTGTTTTTATGTTTTATAGACCTTCTAATATTAAGATCTCGGGTTTGACTTGGATTTGATAAAACTTTTGATTGCATAGTTGGAGAAGCGGTATACAATCCTATGATTTATATATGAACAGTTCGTTGGAAATTCCAGATATATAATTTATTGAACGACATTTCGCGTATAATTTGTAGATAGAAAATCTTCAGAGATCCCATATAGACATACAACTTTGGGTAATCGAATAAGGTGGCAAGTATGTCTAGACGTTGATCGAAAAGTTTTCGACAGGTACTTGTTCGCTGTTAACAATGTTGTATGCAATAATTTCCATTGATGAGGTCAAAACATAGGGTGGCAATATTTCTTGGACATACAGTATAATATACTTTATAAAAATCACAAAAAGCTCTTATGGGGATCTAGAATGTCCCTTACAGCTGAAGATACAGGGGGTTCTGAAGTTATGATTTCACAATAAAAAAAATTATCTTCAGAGTGTAGTAAGATAGTGACTTAAAGTACATGTAGTACTAAGTGTATTGTCATTCATAAAGATGTTCGTGCCTGAGGCTATAGCACTGGCGCAGAGAAATTGTGAAATTAGAACCGCTACAGAAAAAAAAAAATCGTCGTCACTGACTTTTGTGAAAGATTTATTGCATTTTTAAACCAGACTGTTCCTTTTGGAAAAAACGGTTCGAATATATTAGGTAAAATCCGTTTAAACACTTCTAAAACTACTCTGAGGTTAATTGAATTTGACAAAAATTGTATTTTGTGTATTAGGAGAGTAAGTCTCTCTCACCATAGCATTATTTGAACAACATTTATGTTTTGTCCTCACTCAGTCTCATGAGTGGTAAGAACTTTACAACACCCTGTATCTTGATAATGGAACACTTTAGGACATATGTTTATAACAACTTTTTTGTTATTTTGTATGATTTTTTCTGTAGGAATATTGCAATTGTTTTTTCAAATAATAATAAACTCAAACCCACACTTATGGTAATAGTGTCTTTTAGACTTTGATGGTTGAAGATACACCACAAAATAACATCTAGATGTATGGAATTTTTGATATTTTGCTGCAATAGTATGATTTAAACTTTGCAATTCCTCGATGCAAAATTTCCATTTTCATAGCCTGTAGCGAACGAAGCTTTCTACACTCAGGTAATTTATGATTTCGACTATGGTCATCAAAAAATGATAGTGTCGCCTTTTAGAGTAGAAAATTAGGAGTGGTCCTTTCGTCGGTCTGAGCGAAAAGCTAACAGCAGATTCGATCTACCCACCCGACTTACCTGAAGAACATGTTTTCATTGAGGCTGCAAAATAGGTTCATATCGAAATGAGACAACATAAAGTGCTATCTATTACCAGAATCAAACACTGCTAAAGTGAATACAGGCTGTCGGAAATTTCTATTTTCGTAACCTGCAGCTACAAGCGAATGAAACACAGTCTGCTGACCTCAAATGTGACCATAAGTTCTATTTAGTCTCTAAAAATGGCTTTTTTTGGTCGTCATCTTATTTGAATGCCAAAGTTGCATGTCTAAGCTGCCTTATTTACATCCGTCATCTTGTTTATCCTCAATAATATTATACTTGGTAAATGCAGTCGTGGATTAGTGATGTGTTCTGGAAAGGGCAAAGTTTCATTCACTCTAGGGGTCCAATTATTCGTTAACTTGCATTTTGAATAAGTACATTTATTGAATATACTTATATATTTCCACCTAGGCTTAGTATGCTTGTATTATATTCGAATGTTTTTGGTTAGGGTGTGTTTATTACCAAATGTATGTATTCTTGGCTGGGCCTTGTTCTTAAGTACTGTTTCATTTAACACATTTTGCGTCTTACACTGCTGCATGACATTGACAAGCATTAAACATTTTTCTGCTATTTTCTTTCTCTAACACTATTTTCACTATAAATCTTATTGATAATGTTACAGCTTTAGGTGTAGAATCTGGCCAAAGTACTACCTACCACACTTTCTGTCTAGGTCCGGGTACTTCACCAAAGAAATCGCCAAGAAAAAATAATTTGGAACTGTTATTGAACGAGAAAAATTCTAAAAAGAAATTGAGGATTGGTGATCTTTATTCTAATCCGATAGATTGTACCGAATCAGAGGCACTTCTTAAAAAGAATTTGCTGATCGGTAATAAGCAATCTGATGAGGAAAAGCCGGTTCTTCGTGTACAGTTCAACAATGACAATAGGTAAGTTATTTGTAATCATATTTTATATAACTGATTATATGTTGTAACGGAATTTAGCTACGATATCCAAAATTTGAGAATCATTGATCATTTTGTGTGTCAAGAGAATTCTGCCTGTTGCAACCTCGTTTGTCCATTATTCCATATTTTTGTGTATTAATAGATGTTTTTATAATCGACATAATCAAAATTGTAAATGCCATGTGATACGGACACTAACATCGAGACCTCAAAAACATTGCGCTGACGACGCGCTCTTTGGATAACGCGCTGTTGTTTTAGACACGATTCTTGGATAACGAATAGACTGACGTTGTGACTGTGACTCGACACCATCGCCGCCGCGATAAGCGCCATTTCATGTTATGCCGATTTTGACACAGCCATCTCTGAAAACTATTTGTGAATGTAGTAGTGGGGATCTCAATAGAGGATTTCGGGGATTTACTCGAGCGCTGCAGATTAAGATAAGGAGAAGTACCTTGCATCCTGTTTAGTACCTCCAGGGTATCCCAGAAACCGACGTCAAGCCCGAAACGGGATATCTCCCGCCATAATAGTTATCAGAACAATATAAAAAAATTCCAAGTCGTGAACTTTTCAGATTATAGACTTGAAAAAAATCGGAAAAATATACACCTTGTGATAATACAAATTTCAATTTTTTCTTAGATGGAGTGACGGACACTGTAATTCTAAGTAGCGACAGCAAGACAGATAGTGACGCGACTTTTATTAATTCGGGAATGTATTTATTAAATGCACAATGGATGTACAAACTGTCTTCCTTTAGCAGCAATGCAAGCTTGACATCTTCTTAAAAATGATCTTGAAAAGTTACATTATCTCGATTTTTTTTGACAACATATTGTTTGTTTGTGACATTATCTAGGTTTTTCTACAAGATGTTAACTTAGTTCTAGCTGATGGACACGTTATGAACTCGTTTTGTAGTTGTATGTGTTGTTTAAAAGTTATGAGGCTTCAGTTATTAATGCTTGGCTCTGATGTGATGTAAAATGTCCTTCTGAGATGGCATTACTGGAAGTAACGGCGACGCATAAGTGTATAATGTGCTTAATAATATGTCTTGATGATAAGTCCATTGGATTATTGTCTCAAATACACTTACTTGAGATTCAAAGCTAGAAATTAATTGCGCACTTTTTCTTATCCATTCTGGAAATTACATATGCAAATTTGCTGAATTTCATAAATGAGAGAGATAAGAAATAATTATATTCACTGTACACTGTCGAATTACATATACATGCTAACAGTAATTACACACAACGCGGGCGCGCTGGTGATTTCACGTAATTCTGCTCAAAGTTGTTGAAAACACAAAAAAAACATAAAAAATCGTAATGATTTTCTCACACAGCAAATATCACTGATTATACACATGCAGACCAATATACACAATAATCAAGATGCGATATTGCTATTCGACCAACTTTCTTCTCAGAGATGAAAGCTATAGACTGCCCGCAAATATCACTGATTTTATACACATGCAGACCAATACACATAATCATCCAGATGCGATCTTGCAATTCAACCAACTTTCTTCTCAGAGATTAAAACCACAAACTACTCGGCTTCACAAAACATATGCAACCAACAATGCATGTAGTTGAGCTATTCCTTCATAGATGGACGCTCACAGCGATCCTAATGAGCAAACGTGGAATGACTGTTTGCACCCTAAAAATTACCTAGTCTGCAAGATGACATTTTATAGGTTTTTGACATTTTATAGGTTTCTTACATGATACCCGTGTGGGTTATCAGACGGGCGAATCTTCCGTTATTAACAAATTCAGCTGTTTTCGTTATTCTGTCCCGTAGCTCAGCTAAATTTTCGATTGGCTTTGAGTAAAATTTTTCTTTCACCTCTTCCCAGTAAAAGAAATTCGAGTGAAAGACGAAATTGTACCAGACCGCCCAACTAACTTTTGGTGAAGAGGGATATTCCACTGCTCACATTCGATGGCGCTGTGCAGTATTTTAGACTGTGCTAGATAGATCGTTCTTGGGAAGTATCTCAGATAGAGAACAAAGCTCAAACTTATGTACAATATCCTGTTAGCTATCGTTTCTGGAATGCCCCTTTTTTCACTTAGCCTTGAGGTCATTTCGCATGCCTATTTATTTGCCTTCCATTGTCTAACTCCACATGACTATATAGGTATCGTACTGATGATTGCTAAAGAGCACGGAAAAACGTATGCGGTTGATCACGGTTACACAAATGGAAAGCAAACATTCAGTTCAGCCTACCTGTTTAGGAATTCAACTTTTGTACGAAACATACAATGGAGAGCTTATCTATGTGTCAGACTGTGACACAGTCCCGTGATATAGGGCGCCATCATGGAAGCAGCATTCACTTTCCCCAAATTAGCCAGCAGCATCGCTTGGTCCTTCGGACCGAATCATTCTATTTACTAATAACCTTCATTTGAGATACATAGAATTTACTGTGACTAGTTTGATCTATTTTGAGGTTTTAAGTATGTTCTTGGACATCTTGAAGTGTGTTATCAGTTATCAATTGTTTTTGTATAGATGGAAAATTCCAGTAGTCAGGTACCTGCTTACCTTACAAAAATCACTCGTGGCGATTTTTGTCAACGAGTTTTATGTTCGGATATATTTTTGTTACATCTGAATATCGTGATACATAGTTATCTCATTAAAGATGAGCACAATTCAACAAGTGAACTAGGAAATACGTTTCAGTAGTCATCCAATACTGATATCGATCCGGTATAAGTCTACAATGATACAAGAATAGGAATGTTCCGTCGTCATATGTGAGTTTTTATAAATTAACCTCTTTTAATTATTATAGTAATTATAGAAGTTATCAGATATTTAGCAAATTCATTGCTTAATAAAAAAGCTTTTATTATGCAATATTTTTCTGATATCAAATAAAATATGTTATTCACGTGACCACGGATATTAAATTTGAGTATCATATGAATTTTCAAATGACGCATGCGATCGGTTTCTTCAATTTGCAGCAGATATGTATGTGCATGGACTATATCTTGCAATGTTTCATTCTTTGGAGCAGTCACTGCTTGAAAGCATTGCATTATAATTTGAAATGGACTTCAGAATAACTACCTTTTCCATGGTAGTAATATTTGTTACAGAAAATCATATCACCTCATAAAGAGCATAACATGTGTCAAATATAAAGCTCATTTTAACAAACTATTAAACACGCACATATACGTTTGATCTCCAAGTTTTTATTTTGACGTCTCATGTATGCCAAACATGAATAACTAACATTCAAGAATAATTTTAAAAACATTATCGTTCGGAGCAATGTGAAGTATCTGACAGAATATTCAATCTCACAAAAATTAGCCGTGCTGCTCGATTTAAAGGCGGTGTGAATGATTCCATGAAAACAGAGTACCTACCCGAAAAAAATGTAAGAAGTAGGTTGACTCTGTACTTTCCAAGCAGTTAGTTATCAATTAAATTATATTTGTTTATATCCAAATCTAACGCCATATGAGTTATGGTTAAACAAAAATCGATCAAAGCAATTAGATGTGAGATATACATTAAGAACCAAATTTGTCTGAAGGCTTGAGTTCAATGTGTACGAGAGAGACGTGTGTATGGACACATATGTTAGAATGAGATAGAAGCCAATATGTTACACCAGTTTCGTGAATTAAGATGCATATTGAAAATATGCATTACGAGTAGTTTATTTTTTACGCCCAAATAATGATTTTATTCTGAGCGTACATTTTTGAATTGTGCATTGTGTCGAATCTGTTTAGGATCGATTCCCAATTGGTCCTAACAGCGCTCGATTTTAGGTAGAAATTAAAGGTTAAGAACGCCACAAATTCTGCAACGTTGCATCATTGGTTAGTTTGAGAACCCGCATTTTGTACATTCCAAGGCAAGGTTTCCGTGCTCGTAGGGGAGTGTCGTCCTGCTTCGAAACGGTTTTCACCTGCGTACACGCAGACAGTGATAATTTGTATTGCGTAACATTATTTGTTACATTTTCGACCGCAGCGCGCTGTGGAAAAATGTAACGATAACTCAGGATGTGTTGATTTTATCACCATCAGTGGAAATCAAAGGTAATTCTAAAATAAATTGAATCATTAAGTCGCATTAGAATTAAAATAAATAATTCTAATCAAAATACAAAATATTAAATTAAATGTTCGAACAGACCTCCATTAAACTCAAGCTGTCAGACAAATTTGGTTTTCCCTGCATGTATGTAACATTCAAATTATTTAATATGGAGCAACCTGATGTAGTAGCAGCTACCAAAACGAAATCGCTTTCTTGTTCCAATGAAAAATGTATGAATAATATGTATGTAAATCATACCTAACGGATGTGTAATACTAATGGGATCAAATCAGATAGAACGTCTTTTACTGATACCATAGATACAACATTTACAACTTCTTCATCTGGAGATCTAAGGAAAGATTGATCGGATTGAGTCTCCGTTGATACTATTCTAGGACGCAAAAGCTACGTTTTCACTTAGCAAAGCAAATGTAATGCTTCAAATATTCCTAACGTCGCGACTTTCTGCCAACACAAATTTGCCAAAAATGATCAGGAGCAGAAGAAAGTTTGAGTGATTCTGATTTTTTTTTGCTCCCAATCCCGCCGCCACTGGACCTATTTTCAAAAGCCACAAAGCTTTTCCATTCTTGTCATAGTAGCAGCCTTGTGTGAATGTTCCCTCAAAATCCGCACGATTATTGCGTATAAAAACATATGTAATGTCAAAAAAAACCGACTAAGTATCATCATGCTTCTAGGGTGTAAATAGTTTATTCCGCTCTTGCTCGCTATGAGCGCCGTAAGCGTCACCCATAGCGTCACCTACACACCTAGTGCACATCAAGTAAACAACTATGTTAGTTCCAAGTTGACATCTTATAGGAAAACCTACATGATGTCACAAAGAACGTATTTAATGTAAAAAAAAATCGACATAGTTTCAGTTTTCAAGATACGTAGTTTCCTTGTCGAGCGAGCCAAGGATTAGCAGACAGACTGACCGAGGGACATGCAGACGGAAATGAGTAGCATGAGCAGCAACATGTCACATGAGATCCAAAAAACATATCTCGTTTTAGATTTTTTTGCGACTACAATACTTCATCGCCGGTGGCGAGAGGCGATTCCATTTGAACTGGCAGTAAATGTCGGTCTGTAAATTAAGTGATGACACTGATTTTTTCAATTTTTTCATTCAAATATAATTACAATTTTATATTGTCACCTTCAAAGTAAAGTCCTTCGAAAGCCACACAGCGCTGGAGACGGTTTTTCCACTCCTCATAGCAGCGTTGGAACTCCGATACTGAAATAGCCTTCAGCTGGTCGGTTATGGCCGTTTGAATGCTTTCGACTCTCCCAAAATGAGTTCCCTTGAGGTGATTTGTCAACTTCGGGAGTCAGAACGACTCGAGTCAGGCGAATAAGAAGGCTGAGGATTCACAGGAATGTTTTTACTGGTTTATTGACATTGCTGTGTGACTGTTGTTCTTGATCTGATGAAAGGTGGTGTGAATCAAATTCCCTGATTATCCTGACTGTCAACCCACGATCTGAACGCACAAGATCCCGGATCCTGTCGATATTTTCATCGGTTCTTGAAGGCCTTCCGCTTCGTGGTTCATCTTCAGTCGAACTCTGCCTTCTGAAAATCCCTTAAACCAAAATCTGTGCTCTTGACAAAACACTATGTTCATAGGCTTGCTAAAGTTTAGCAAGAGTTTCAGTTGCACTGTGCCCAAGTCTGAAGCAAAACCTGATAGCACCCGTAGTTCGAAGTTGTGATTCATTTTTAGAACACAACAGGAAAACTGTTTCTCAAAAAGAAAACGCTAGGGACAACCAAATGACTCGAGCGAGTTCAAACTTGTACTGCAGGCGGATCACATGTTCCCCTGTATCCCCTCAAAGCCCGGCACCTCCAGCCAGATGGAACGCTACATTGCCAGTGTCATCACGTAACTTAGAGACGTCCTAATGATTAGATCATATAACATAAAAAGTGATGTTCAAGAAGCATTGGGAGATCGCGGAAGTAGCAAAAAAAGAGAATTAACCAGTTTTTGTTGTTCGTTTCAGTAACTCTTCCATACTAAAGCCGTCACCTTCGACGCCGACCAGTCTATCGTCTTCATCGTCGGGTTCATCGTCTAGCTCTAGTTCTAGCTCATTGGAAATATCAGAGGCGAGACCACCTGACGGAGGATGGGGTTGGGTTGTCGTATTCGCTTCGTTCATAGTCAATCTAATCGCTGACGGCATCACGTTTAGTTTCGGCGTTATTTTTGTTGAGTTCCTGCACTACTTTGGAGAAACTAGAGGTGAGTGTCACATTGCCCTAACTCACGAAAAATTTTGTCCTCACACTTCATTATCAACAGGTAGTTTTGAAGGAAATGGGGAGCGAACAGTCGAAATACCTGTCGTCGTTTAAATACGATACCTTGAGCTAGTAAGACAATAAGCCACTCTCATTAAAGAAAGAACCCTTAAGACTTATTGAGCAGCTTATGATCTGTCTCCAATCACTGGCTTCAGTTCGAATGTTTCTATAAAAGTGAAATTGAAAATAATTGAGGCGTGCATCTACCCGGTACTAACATAGGGACTTACTGATGTGTTTCCACGCATAAGTAAACGTGGCATTTTTAAATTAGAGAGATGCCTTAAGAAGATACATGAAAGAGCTGGACAGCTCTCATACTGCATCCCAGATGACATATTTCGGGAGTTGCTGTAATGAGCCAGTGTGGCAATACGCCTCGGATCAGGCGCATAAAAAATTTCTCAAAAGCACCGAGGAAGACAAATCAGTGAAACCGATTTTGACGAAAGTAGATCATCCAGTCAGCCTGCCAAGCCAGCAGTGTCAAATCCAGCTTCCAAAATTCAAGCGACCTGTGCACTGTATCTCATAATAATAATAATAATACTTTGTACAAAGGTTTTATCCTCCGTCCCCTTCCCTAAAAAGTACATACGTATTTTGAATGTACATAGAAGCAATTTAGTTTTGTTTTTTTGTTTCTCATTGTTTACATACAAGCCAAAGACATCACATGTAACATAATCTATGTTATATAAAATAAAGGTTCCAAATTGATTTGATTGTATTGTTTGAATAAACTTTCATTTCAGGCACAACAGCATGGATCGGTGGAGTATTCATGGCGATGCCATTGCTGTCAGGTCCAGTCGCTTCATTCTTAACCGACCGATATGGTTGTCGAAGAGTCACTATTTTTGGGGCGCTCCTCGCATCTATTGGATTTATAATTAGCTCCATGGCCAATTCGATGATAGTCCTTTGCATAACGTTTGGCATATTAGCAGGTAATTAGTATTTTCATTATAAGAAGCTTCTTTAGTGAACATAAATATTGGAAGAAAGTGCAGTCAACTTTGTATTCACCTTTTGAATCGCTTAGGCCCGATCTTACTATCGACCAGCGGGAATCAAAATTTGCACCTTTGCCACAAATTGGACCGATGAGAAGGCGTCTTTGAAGTAATGCATCTAATGAATATAATAATAGATAATGAAACATCATCATGCAGGAGGAGCATTCAGAACTGATTTGTTGTTAACGGGCTGACGTTAAATGGAAACAAAACTCGGACAACGTAGGAACAGTAAAGTTTCTCGGGGTGCATATTGACTCTTCTTTTAGTTGGGATGAGCATGTAAATCATGTTACAAAATCTTTGACGAAAGCTGTTTAGCTGATACGTAATCTGCTGACCAGTTACCATTCATATTTCCACAGTAGGATGGCATACGTCATTCTGGCATGAGGTCATTCTCCACATATGCCTAGAGTTTTTGGCTCACAGAGAAGGTGTGTTAGATATATATCAAATTTGAATTGAATAGCTTGCCCACTATGACAATGATACAACTCATCAAGATACTCATAATTACAACACCAGAAACAAAGATCATTTGTGACCAAATCGTCATCGCTTTCCCAAAACTAGAAATGGTGTTAACTACCAGTTAAAATTATACAACCTATTGCCAAATTAAATAAAATCTCTCGACTTTGAACAATTTGACAAAACTGTGAAATGTTTTCTGCTATCCGTTTTTTGTGACGTCGAAGTCTTCCTTAACTTTAATTTTTTCAGCCTGGCATAATTTTTATTATATTGTCTCTTTTATCTTTAACCATCTCTGTTTATTGTTCATCTACATTTTAACTTTGGTTTGGTTGTCTTTTTTATCTTTTTTTGCCACTTCGTATTCTTTATTGTCTTTACTTACTCTTTTATGTTCTACTTTAATTGACATGTGCAAACACATTTATGTCTAATAGCACCAATAAGCTATTATTATATTATAATAATTATTATTATATGGTCGATTTCTGATAAAATGTCTCTGGAGAAAAAATATACGATTTTTGTAAGACTTGTTCCTAATTCTCATATTAAATCAAGAAATACTACTTAAATATATCACATGATTCGGCTACAAAAACCCATCTTTCATTTGGACACAAAAGTTAAAGCAAACTCCACCAATCAAAAAAGATTTGCGTATAGTCGCAAATTCGACGAATCAAAAGGAAGGTTTTTGTGGCCTACTCGAAACATGAACATTTTATTGAAAATAATAGTGACTCGCTGTTGCTGTACTAAGTTCTGCGTAATAAGTTCTTTGAAGACAAATAAAATTACAGAATGCTTATTATTTAACAAACATCGAGTAAATAATCAATTTACTTGATGACCGTAAGAAAAACCCTGTTCCTCAGGCCATCCCTGTTACTGTTAAGATGGAGATGTCGCGCCGCGGTGACGGTGGCAAGGGTAGAAGTAGTCGTACCACTGCGCAGTAGAGGGCGCGAAAGCTCCATGTTTACAGGGCTGGCATAGGAAAAATGGGTTTTTCCCATGGTGGTCAAATTAATTGAGTCTTTACTAGAAATTTGCTTAAGAACAAGTATTCTGTAATTTTATTTATGTCATAGAAATCTAGATATTGTATCAGATTTCTGTCCATGCTTCGAGTATCTGAAAAACAAATATTTCAAGTGTATCGCTTAATAATGATATTCTTTTCAGGTTTCGGTTTAAGCTTATGTTATGTGGCATCAGTGGTGATAGTGGCGTACTACTTTGATAAGAAGCGGTCGTTCGCCACTGGTCTAGCGGTGTGCGGCAGCGGTATCGGTACCTTCATTTTCGCTCCATTGATTCAACTGTTGCTTGACGAGTACGGTTGGAGGGGTACTACTCTCATTCTTGCCGGGCTGTTTTTGAATCTTGTTGTTTGCGGAGCTCTCATGAGAGACCTGCCATGGACTTCGAGGAAGCAGAAGAATTTGGCAGAGGAAAGAAAGAGAATTAGGTGAGCGTTCCAAGTGTTACGCTGCTTTTTAGCTCCTGTGTCATAACTTCAACGAGTGTTTTAACGTCTGGGATATCGTAGCTCTCAAATGGAGGAACCAATTTTGATAGTTTCTCCTTTGTTGGGTTGTCTTAAGATTTTCAACCAAATTGCGATGTGATATAAGAGGAAATATAAGAGATTAAAATTAAAAGCTAATGGATGTTTATTTGAAAACTTCCTACCACGGATTTATCGAATACCACTGGTCAAAAGAAAAAGCGCCGAGACACGTCAAAAGATTTGTCAAGGGGGACAACTTTATAACCAAAAAGTACTTCACCCCCTTCACCCTCGGCCCCCTAGGGTCATTCCCTTAAAAATTTTAAATGACATGCGGTATCGAGTAATAGCTTGTTTGAAAGGTCTTTCGAAGTCCTTTATTATGAGGTTTGATTTTTTAAATCAGTCAATTCGTTTTCGAGAAAATTAGAAAAATCTTTATTTATCTTAACTTGTTCATATAGAAAACAAGAACACACGAGAATATCACTTTTTATTTCAATAAGTGTTCAAAATGTTGCCCGTTAGGGTTTGCCAAATCTACAATTCGTTTATAATTTAGAACGGAAACTACCAACCGGCAACTTGGCAACAACCAAATAATAGCCTGAATTTTTTTCCGTATTATTTTCATCAACACATATTCCTGGCGAACGGTATTTATTGTTATACCTTTTTAGTTATTTGTTGCTAAGGGAAAGAAGTAATTTAATTTGTTGTCTGGCTAGTAAAAAATAATTTATTGATTTAGATTTTACTTCCAATATGGTTTACACACTAGCCGAAAGAGTGGAAATGATTCTAATTTATGGTGCCCAAAATCAATGTGCTCGGCAAACTGCCGTCACGTTTAACGCCAGACATTCGAGGAAGATAACTTCGCATAGGTATGTTTTGGACCTTGTTATTGTACTAAATTTACTCAAAATGGATCTGTTGCAAATGGAAAGCGTGATCATCGGAGAGTTTTAGATGAAGCCGCTCAAGTTGAAGTTTTGGGTCATTTTGGAATAAATCCTAATACTACGCAAAATTGTTGCTGCGACTGGTATTTTATTAGGCTCTGTACACACAGTTACTAAACTCCATAAATTTCATCCATTCATAATGAGAATATTGCAAGAGCTAACCGAAGATGATTTCGATACGCGAGTTAAGTTGAGTTTTGTGAACAAATGACTGCAGGGATTAATGATAATACCATTCATGTAAAGAATATCTGCTTCAGTGATGAATGCACAATTTATCTAAATGGATTTGTTAATAAGCATAACTGCAGGTATTGGAGCAATGAAAACCCTCATACTTTTGTAGAAGGGCGTACCCAGAACTGCCCAAAAAATTAATGTATGGGCAGGCGTTTTAGGAAACAAAGTGATTGGGCCATTGTTTATCAATGGAAATTTGACTGGAGCCATTTATTTGGATATGTTGGAAAATGCCACCAATCCGCTTATCACTGAAACCATTGAAAATAAAATCGAAGAGGATGGAAACCCTAAACTTGATCAGGCTATTTCCAGCAAGATCGCGCTCCTCCTTACTATGTTCTTCCGGTTCGGCAATGGCTAGATGACGAGTTTCGATAGGGCGAAGAGGGCCTATGGAATGGCCTGTTAGATCTCCTGATTTGACGCCATTAGACCTTTTTCTATGGGGCCAATCTATTGTGTTTACTCCCCAACCTGAACGTTTGGATTAACTTTGTAAACCCATCATCGAAAGCTGCCATGATATCCCACAACATGTTTGTGAAAATGTCCATCAGGAATTTGAACCTCGCCTGTAACGGGAAACATTTTGAACACTTATTGAAATAAAAAGTGATATTTTCATATGTTTTTCTTTTCTGTCTGAACAAATTAAGGTAAATAAATATTTTTCTAATTTTTTTGAAAACGAATTGATCGATTTTACAAAATCAAATGTCAAAATAAAGGGCATCGAAAGACCTTTCAAACAAGCTATTACTCGATATCCTTTGCCATGGCAGGCAGAGGGTGAAATGAGGTGGAGTAGTTTTTGGTTAAAAAGTTGTCTCCCTTGACAAATCTTTTGACGCGTCTCGGCGTTTTTTCTTTTAATCAGTGGTTTTCAATAAGTCCGTGGTGGGAAGTTTATTTATTTCTCTTTCTTACAGGCACTTGAAGCGGAAAAACAAAGGCGGCTCATCAGCAGACTCGTTTTCAGTGAGCAACAGCACAAACACGGCTAGTGCGCTACAACCTATCGTAGAAGTACCACAGGAGGACTATCAAGAAGTTTTGAATGGCCGCCATTGCAGTTCGCTAGTCAACCTGCCCACTTACGTTCGCAACGGCGAGAAAGTGCCTCTCGAAGTTCTGGAACTCTTATCCACGCATAAAAACGTATACAATGTACTGTTGGCAAATTATCCTAACCTCTTGACGCCGTCCAGGAGTTTCAGTGATTCAGGTATTGACATTTTGTAACAATTTTCGAATCTTCTGAAAGTAACACTTTGCACAATAACTTTTTGGTAAGGCCAAATAAGCAACTATAGGTCACTTCACGTACTTTGCCAGGCCACAGTAAAACTAACGGTATCCCTTTCATACCTTCATCTCCTTGACATATGCAATCCACCTCTGTGTATGGATGTTTGTGTAAGCTCACAGATATACGTTTTTTACCATTTTCTCATTTCGTCTGAGAGATCTACAACCATGGTTACTGTCAGTATGGCAACTCACTTATCGTGCGCATACGATCTGATTATACCTTTTGTTGATCTCCTATATAAAATATAGCTGTGCCTGGAAGTACAATCAGTGCACAGTTAAAAGCAATGGTCCCCTACATCCACTTCATAATCTCTTGAGGAATACCATATCTTAAAATAAAATTTCAACAAGGCATTTTGCTACTGTTATTACATCTTTAGATTTTATTGGATATGTTTGAACAAACTTAGTCAATTCACACTGGCGGGTCAATATATAAAAAAATCATTCTAATATATGGACGGTGGATCAACTAAATCTAAGTATAATTTTTGGAACGTTTAGCTTGCTTGATTTGTGTGTTTCATTTTCTGGCAACTATCGCAACTTTTTACAAACTTCACATCTATTAGCAATGCCAAACCAATCATCCTTGTTGACAATTTTACCCACACCATTTACTACACGCATATGGGATCTGCCCCCTGTTCTTTATTTTCTTCATTTTATTATGCTTATATTATTTTCATCTTTTAAAATTGTCAATATTTGCAAACCGAATCTCTCAACATTTCGGCTCGCGCCAATGTGCATCGAGAATTTTGATTCACATACATAGTGCGAAAGTATGTAACACACATCTCCCGACTGTAATACTTCGCTTAATCGCTTTTCGGCGAGATCATTCTGATTTTTTGGTGTATTGCGGACTTACTATATTAGGTTGATCAGACACAATATTAGAGTATGTCGACATTTAGAAATTAGATTTTTCACTACTCTTCTGTCTACGTGGTTAAAAAATCCAATGACGCGTCGCTTGCAAATCAAGCCAGGCCTACAGTCTCTTTAGTCGTAAAAAAATTAATGTCCTGGTTAAGTGACACTCAAAACTATATAATTAGTTTTTATTTCAGGTAGATTACACGAGAACATGATGTCAAAGCATGCCGCTACACAGTCACAGTTATCACCACCCCCAAATGGTCATGGGGAAGATTTAGCTTATTTATGGTGGTTGAAGAGGAACAAAATCAATCATCCCGTTGCTAGTCATCAAAAGAAACTGCCAACTGCATATTTGAAAGACTTGAGAATCCACAGGTGAGTGCAACATTCAAGACAATCTTTTCTCTTCCTGAGAAATAAAGATTATCAGGCTAGGCTGGGGCTAGGGGCAACAGCGCCGAGACAGTAGTTGGGTATAAGCAGGCGCTATGAACTGGACAAAGGTAGAGAATCGCTCAGTTTTTTGATGGCGAGTTCTCACCAAACACTGTAGGCTGAACAGTCTCTCTTCTTTTAAAGAAGAAGAGAGATCTCAACTGCACCATGTGCGGGGAGGAGGAAAAGACGTAATTCCACTTTCTAGGCTTTTGCCCCGTGTATCGCACTATGAGAGAGCACTATTTGGAGCCAAAGAATTTGATAGTGAATTTGCCTACCTAGCAGAGTACTCGTACATCCTGACCTTTATTAGGAGTTCAAGAAGATCGATAGACTAGTGGATAAACATGTGGAGTAGAGTGTTGGTGCATATGAGGTTGCTAAAAAGGACCACCACTACTACTACTGTTACTACTACTAAGCCGACTAAAAATAATACAGTACGAAGTCAACCTGAGTTGACTACTGTACTTAACTGCGAATTTTCTAGTTGCTTAAAAGGCTAGTTCTTAGCCTTTTCCTTCAATAGCCACATGAGAGGAATTTTAATGGTTCATAGGTTGAGGCATTAGCTCCAGGCCACATATGTAGCATAAAGTGCATTTTGTACTCCCAATTCTTTGACGTTGCTTTGGACTGATATATTTTTGAGATTCGAGACGAATAGGTGTTTTGCTAAATCATACTTTTGACCCTTTTACTTCCTATGCCACTAGCCTGTAAATATCGTGATCGCTTAAAATTCCGAAAATTTCAATGTTTTACCTTACCACTTGTACATCACGAAAAATCATGTCGCTCATTTCTGTCGGTCTGTCTGTCTATCCGAACCCTTCGTCCGTCTATAACTTGTGATGAACTTTGTACACAGAGTTACTTCTATACCAAGGACGAAAAGACTTTGTAGTAGACGAAACGGCTTTGTAGTTTTTGAAAATCGGCCAGTCACGGCGGAGAAAAAGGCCAAAACGAAAAAAAAAAAATACATAAAAATCACTTAATCTTTGTTTCTTGACGTTTAAGATGATCCTAATCATTGACTCCATTTTATTGCAGGGGTTAAAAATGGATGTTGGGGGATTATAGGGGTGGGAGAGAGTATATTGTCAATTTTGTAATTCCTATTAGACATACCATGGTTCATAGATCATAGATTTACTTCCCCTTAAAGCTTTGAATGCTGAGGGATAATTGAATGATGGTACCTGTATTCGCGTATCCAATGCCGTGCTGGGTTGACACGTTGATGGGTGGTCGGTACTATCAGTGGAGCGGTAGGCTAGATAGCAATGATGTCAAATCTGTGGGGACTAACTGTTTGACTGACTTGATCTATTTAATTCCTTTGTTATACATGATTTTAGCCAAATTCTAAAGTGGGACTAATTTGTGTCGAGTATAATCCTTTAAGAATTGATGGCAGCGTTGGGTAGGAAGTGCCAGGTCATCCTACATGGCACCATTTTTTACATCGTTACTTCTTTAATCACAATTATTACATGTTTTATGCCGGGTCCTTATCAAAGCAACAAAACAAAAACAAGGAACAAAACAGAAACGCCACAAATGAGCAACTTTTTGGAAACAAAACACAATGAAAACTTATGTCCATATTGCCAAGAGAAAAAAAAGTTTTCAGTTGTTTTGTTTCGTGCAGTCCACACCAAAAATTTTCAGAGTGAAAATATGTGGCGTTTTTATGCTGAAAGGCAGAAGCGCGAAGATTTTATCGTAATGTCTGCTGCTTATTTGTTTCTTCAGAGTTGGGACCGGGAAAATAAAAACGTATTTGGGTGAAACAATCATTACGTGAAAGATATGATCGTGGTATTGAAAAATTGTCCGATTTGCGTAAAAATGATATTGGATTGTGAGGAGAAATGTGTTCTGGTTTGTAGAACTTTTTAAGAATGTCCAGTGAAAACTTTGAAGAATTAATACAGCTGATCGGTACAGAAATTTTTTAAAAAATACCAATTGCAGAAATGCCATTAACGCAGTTAAACGTTTGGCCGTATGACTAAGATATAGGATACTCCCTACATAGTTCAATTAATTTACTCGTGTTATGTACACTCCACTTTAATTTTTCACCCGACATAGTGCGTATTTATTTTTAAACACTCTACACAGTAGTGATGCAAAGTTTCGTTACTTTTTAGGACCTGTAAGGACTCGTTACTTTCGAACTTTGGACTCGTTAGTTTAGTTACTCTTTGAACATTTCGTTTAGAACCTACATTCTATATATTATATCAAATTATTACTTTGGGATTGATCCAATTATTATTTTTTGTCTAATGCCTTGCCTATTAATTTTTTTTTGATATTTGATACGTAGAAGGTACTTATATTTTAAACTCGTCGTTGTGTGACGTCTCGTTCGTTGGCTGTACGCTGTAAATAGTATTTAACAAGTGGCATAACCAGATGGGTACCGTGGAGGAACCACTCTCCTCACTCTTTACTTTAGTTGAGTAGCGTCCCCTGCCCTAACAGTCTGGTTACTCCGCTGTCCTACTTAACAGTCTGGTTACTCCACTGTAAATGGTGTTCAACAAAATACTTATAATAATAAAACATACCTGAAACTAAGTTCCTTTTGCACCTAGGCATATTTTCGTCTTCCACCCGCCGTTTTGCCCTTTCTCCTTCCAATGAAAGAGTCGGATGTTTAGTTTTCAAATGCTTCCTTAAATTGCTAATGTTTCCATTTTTATGCGAATAAATATTTTTACAAAGATTAGACTTTGCATTAGCTTCCGATATATTGGTGAAATGCATCCAAATAACACTTCTTTTTTGAGTTTGCGATTCTCCTGAACCGGACGCGGATGATTCCACATTTTTGTACAAATAATAATTATATTATTGCTCGAGCTTGTACGGCAACGTCCAAACCAGTAACAACCCGCCAACCGCTAGCTCTCAAAGTCAAATGAAAAGTGTACAGGTGTACACAAACATTGCCAACCTAAAGCTCCGCAGTCCGCAACTCGTTTGATAGAAGAGTATCTAAAGTTGCCTAAGCCTAACGATATTCGCATCATTTCATTTCCACCCAGTTTACATCCAAGAACCAAGTCACTTGCTGCTGGCGCTGGCAGTACTGGCTACATTAGATCCCAGTAACGTTTGTATCTAAAGTAATGTATAGTGTAGTAACTAACAGTAATTAAAAAGTATACATTGAAAAAGACCGTATCGCATTCAAAGTAACGAATTCAAATAAAAAGTAACGAGTCTTTTCAAAAAGTAGGACTCGTTACATTTAGTTACTCATTTGTAACGATTATTTTGTAAGCGTTACTTAATTATTTTACATCACTACTACACAGCGCCTTCGAATTTGATACTAGTTTCTATTTTGTATTTGTTTCGCAACAAAGTACACGTCGCACCGACAATGTTACCTGAAATGAAAACAAAACAGAAACCTTTTGATCTCTACCGACTCGCGACGGGAACGCCAAAAGTTGCCAGAAAAAGAAACAAAACACGAATTGTTGACGAAATGTTGCCGATGATTTGTTGCTTAATTGTTGAAAAACATTGAGTTGCTATTTTGTTTCTGCTTTGTTGGTTTGATGTGGACCCGGCATTGCACTGACATGGACAAAGGTGCTGCAGGCATTAAGTAGTGAATTTGACCACCTGATCTATTTTGTTTTAGGTTATCTGTAACATACAGAGGTGCCATGCTGAACATACATCGCTATAGACTGAGAGCCAGCTCTTGTCCGGACATCTACAGGAACTCTATGACGACGATAGCCAAAGAAAAGGTCCAGTGGTACGCGGGTCTGTGGGATTTCTGGGACTTACTGGTTGACATGTTCGATTTCTCGCACTTTGCCGACCCCAAATTCCTAGTGTTCGCCATCTCCAACTTCCTGCTGTACACCTGGTACGATGTGCCATACGTTTACCTGACAGACTACGCCATTACGAATGGCGTATCAGAGAAGGACGCTTCCATCTTGATATCGATTATTGGAATTGTGAATATGGTTGGAGAGGTAAGAGTACTAACTCCTACACACTGCGCCAGATATGTCAACCTCAATATATAGAGGCTAGATTTGAAAATTGATCATTCCTGAAAACCCAGCCTTGTAGGCTTAGCCATATGCATAAAAAGTAAGGTTTTAATGGTTTTATAATCAATAATTGTTAATGCATATGACAGAGCACTCAAGTGTTATACACGATATACCTTGATACTTTAGGACATTCTGACTTTTATTTTGAGGGCTGCTTTTTAGGCAGCAGCGGTCGCCGCAGTGTCAGAGGCTTCGTCTCCTAATTAGTCGCCGTGCGCTGCGAGGGTTCGAATCCAGTCTGAAGAGAAATTTTTCTCTTGGCTATGGATGTCGTGATTGTCCGTAGGTATTAGAGGGTCTCTGATTCTCGTACGCGGAGGTACCACCCGGCGGATCTCGTAGGCGGGGCCACAATGTATGCATGCTGCATGCATACGTGTTCCCTCGCTAGAGTCCGTGTGGTGTCCCCCCACTTTTCCCATGTATGTATCCCCCTTTAGCCCCACGGTACCCCATGCCTTCGAGGCAGCTGGAGTAAAACAAAACAGAAAAACCTCCTTGAGTTTTTTTTTGTATAGTTCACGACAAAGCTATAAGGTTTGCTCACATTTTTAACGGCGGTTAAGCAGCCATAAAGCCAACAAGGGAGATGCCGTTGAGATGCGGGGTATGGGACGGAGGGGAGGCCAGCGGCTTCGATCCGCTTTATTTATAGCACAGCCAGTATGTGAGTTTGTTGCTATGTTCGTATGAAAACAATGCGACTTATTTTAGATTCGCTACATTCAAATCAATTATATGGAACTGTTAGTGCTTTTTACGTCATTGCATATTGCTTAAATGTTTAATTTATACAGATGGACCAGCTTTCATCATTAGTCAGACCTGCATCATATAATGACCATACTTGTGTGTAGAACTACGAGGGTTTATCCAGTGATACGGTTCTCAAATAGCTCCAGCCGCACTGGAAGGCGAAACCTAGCAACACCGCTGAGCGCGATAGTACTGCCTTTCTCGACTTCCAGGCCGCGCTTCGCTGCGCCGTTCATTCTTGGCTCAGCACTTATCCAATATGGAGCTTCCCATTGTGGATCCAGCCAAATGCAAGATTCGTTCCACAAATCGCTTTTTGCACGACATACTCATCATATTAGACGAAAATACCTCTAGTGCTGCAAGTTGTTCAAGGGGGTATTCAAAACATGGACGCATAAAATGGGTACACCAATTTTAGTGGGAAAACTTTTTATTCGACAACGTGAGAAAACGTATTTTCATCGATTCAATTGAAAGTGTTGGCAGGAACGAATAAACTCTTCATATAATACTTTTAGGTATTTATGAGACCTATAAAATGAGACTACGGGTAAAAAGATCCGACTAATAGCAAAAAAGTTATGTGCGAAAACCGAGGCAAACTGCAAGTTTTGGCTCTTGTTGGTAATGCGACGATGGTTTCTCGCAGTACTTTCTGAGAATTTCTAATTTTTTATCCCAAAAAACCTGTTTTTCGGCCATCACTACTAGTTTATTGAGCAATATACAGGGTTAGTTCAAAGGGCATTTTATAACAAAATACACTAGTTTACTTTGCCGATATGAATCGCAAACCATTCCGGAAGATAAATGTTATTTTTATGCAAAAGAAGGAAGCATTACATTTTTTCTTATAAACAAATTCAAACATTTCGTATTTGTGAGTAATCCGCAACAAAAGATGATAGACACATCCGCTTTGTTTTAAAATGTGTATAGTAACGTATGTTTTTCAAATATCGTAGCGCATTTGTTCACTTACTCACAAATACGAAATGTTTGAATTTGTTTAGAAGAAAAAAAAACGTAACCTATTCGCTGATAGAAGAATGCGAGTAGATCTCATCATCACTTTCAGAGCAGTGCATAATTTGTTTGGTGTGGACATGTCACATCTGTTTCGTCTGGCAACGAACAATCTCAGAGACCATAACTTCAAATTGCAGAAGTAAGCTTTTAGAACCTCTACTCATCAGCGCTTTATCTCAAACCGTGTCTTCGATGCATGGAACAGTCTTCCATCGTATGTAGTGAACTCGGCATCAGTCAAAAGTTTCAAAAACAATTATGATGGACACCGCAGTGCTTAACATATTGTTCCCATTCTGTATATGTCTGCTTCAGAAGTGCTAAGATTGTCAAATTTTTATATTTCTTTTGTCTGTACACTATTATCTATTTTCTATTATGTGTTTGAGTTTATAGTACTTGTACTCAACTCAAATTTGTTGTTTAATAATAATAAAAAAAATAACATATTCTCTTCCGGAATAGTTCGTGATTCATATCGGCAAGGTGAACCCGTGTATTTTGCTATTAAATGCTATTTGAATGAACCCTGTATATTGCTCAATAAACTACTAGTGATGGCCGGAAAACAGACGTTTTGGGATAAACAATTAGGAATTCTCAAAAAACTACTTGGCCAATATAATCATAAGATCAAACGAACTTACCTGTGATGTTCGATCTTGATTATATAAAGGCCCCGTCGAAGAAAAATAGTAATACGTAGTATCTCCATCTCTAGCGAATCGGTCATACATTTCAAAGCAAACATAACCCCTCCCGCCGCTCCCCGCTGCCGTCATCGTACTCAGTCCATTTTAAAGCTGATGAATTGTTGCAATTATATTTTTGGGGAATGGGATGGGTTGGGACCCTATTTTTCTTCGACGGGGCCTTTATATAATCAAGATCGAACATCACAGGTAAGTTCGTTTGATCTATTATTATGATCTATATTCGGCCCCGTCTCGAAAAATAGTAATACGTAGATATTTAGAGTTTATTGCAACAATTAGAGACTGCATACATTGCGAATTTTCTATTCCAAACAGAAAATGAACTACCTATATAATATTACATATTACCTATGGTAGGTATGTCATTTATGTTCACAATGTCATATTACATAAGTAATATAAGTAACAATAATAATAGTAATAGTAATAATGGTGTTAGTTAATAGTAAGTAAGTAATATATGTAATTATAACCCTGTAAGTAACATCATCTTTCAGAAAAAAATTTAATAACTAACATGTAAGTACAGCTTCTGCAAATCTTTGATCTGACAATAGTGGCCTATTATATACTTGAGCAAACATCCTAGAGTCTCTAGACCAACCCGCGGAAAGACGAATTGTGTCCATAGTTAGCCCTTTTCTTTTTGCAGCAGACGTCGCCGCATGCCTGGTACTGTGCGCCGAAAATTTGTGTACGTCAATGCCACTTTTTTCTAAAATAATCTTAATCCAGCGACTTAAGGTCTGCGTAGATGCTTTACGGTAAGGCATTTTGCTGGTTAGAATTAAACTTGTTTCAGAACCCCTTAGATTTTCTGTTTTTTCTAGATAGGTAAGGATTACCCTAGCCACACAAACTTCCGGATCCGAGTTTAAAAAAGGAAGGTGGAAAAATGGCTGGGATCGATCTTTACCAGAGGTCTTAATTCTTTGGGGCACCGCTATATTTATTTCGATCTCTGATTTATAAATGTGCGTGATTTCTATAAGGGCTAAAGTTTGAAGACGTTGACCTGTGGCCAATGCTAAAAGGGTTACAAGTTTTTGGTTCAATTTCCTCAAAGTAATATCTTTGTTTTTCCATTCCCTTAGAAAATTTAAAACTACTGCTGGATCCCAAGTATTTTGATATTTCGGTAAACTTGGTCTAAGCATATAGACTCCTTTGAAAAATTTCTGAATCCTGTAATCCTGTGCCAAGTCTCGCCCCGCTACTTGAGCTATAGCAGACCGATAAGTATTTAAAGAACTATAAGATGCTCCTTTCTTAAAATGATAGGTTAGAAACTCTAAGACGGTTACTACTGAAACCGAATAGGGATCTGCTTTCTTGGTAGAGCAATACTCCCACCATAGTTTTAAACCCGAACTATATTGCTTTAAGGTAGACTCTGAGATTGAGGCCATGCAAATCTCCAAGGAGTCGGTTGGCACTTTGCCTAGCTTAAGCGCTTCCCGGATAATCGACCTGCCATCAGGGAAATGTGTTCCGATAGCGGATGTGGAATTCTGCCAAAAGATAATAAGTCTGGTTTAGGTTCAAGAATCATAGGTTCAGATATTAACAGAGACGTAAAAACTGGATACCACGGTTGTGCTGGCCAATTGGGCACAACCATGATCCCTTCTGCTTGGTCATTAATTATTTTCTGTAGGGTACTTAAAATTACTGAAAATAGGGGAAAAGCGTAAAAAATAAATTTTCCCCAGTGTATGGTAAAAGCATTTATTGCCATAGCATCAGGATCCCTAAGCCATGAAACATATTTCCTACATTTATTATTTATCCGACTGGCAAAAAGATCAATTTCTGGGTTACCTAGCACTGCGGTCAATTTATTATAAGCCGAGTTATGAAGTGACCATTCCGTGTCGATTTTCAACTCACGTGAAACCCTATCAGCTTCCACATTATCTGATGACCTAATATATGAAGCCATCAAATAAATATTCTTACGTTCGCACCATTGCCAAATTTTGCGGGTAAGATCATTTAATTTTGGATATTGCACACTTCCCATGCGATTTATATACGACATAGCCGTAGTGTTGTCTACCCTGCATAAAATTGAACAATTAGATAGATCTTTAGCAAAACACTTTAACCCAATGAAAACCGACAGTAATTCTAAATAATTTATATGATGATTATTTTTCTCTTCTTCAGACCAAAAACCGTGTGAAATAATATTATCGCAGTAAATACCCCAGCCAGTATTAGACGCATCTGAAAAAATTACCTTTTCAAATTTGTCCTTTCTAATAAAATTTGCAGTATTAAGTTCTAATTTATTTATCCACCAGTCAATTTCACTAACAATTCTATTAGAAATTTTCATTACAGCATTATAAGACCCATTATGTTGTCTAAGAGCTAAATATTTTTCTCGCTCCATTGATTTCGTGTATAAATACCCATACCTTATGGCTGGACATACAGATATTAATCTCCCTATTATTTTAGAGAAATCCCTAATCTTGCACTGTTTCCAGTTCTTAAAGTGTTTCAATATTTCGATCAGTTTCTGACGCTTTTCTATTGGTATTGAAACAGTCATATATAAGGAGTTATACTGAAAACCTAAATAAACACAAGTCTTTGAAGGGACTAAGACACTCTTCTTATGATTAATAATGAATCCTAAATGTTCTAAAATAGAAACAGTGCTAGAGACATTTAGCAAACAATCATCATAGGTCCTATCAATTAATAAAAAATCATCCAAGTATACCACTGACGTAAATCCTTTTATCCTGAGATAATACACAATAGGCTTCATTAACTTTGTAAATAACATTGGGGCAAAATTTATACCAAAGCAAAGGCAGTTGTATTGATAAAGTTGTCCCCTAAAATAGAACCTTAAATATTTTCTATCCTTATTGCTCACAGGAACTAGGTAATATGCATCCTTTAGATCTAATTTAGACATGAAACAATTCTGGGTAAGCAACTTGAAAACCGTTTTATGGTCTTCTAACTTAAAATGGTTTGTTTCTAAAAAGACATTTAACTTTTTTAAATTTAATATTAGACGAAAAGTACTATCTGCCTTGGGAATTATAAAAATGGTTGATATAAATTGACCCTCACAAGGTTCCACCTGTGAAATGGCTTGCATTTGCAATAAGTTTTCAATAGAGTTCGAAATTATAACCTGTTCTTTTACAGACCATTCTTGTTCTTTTGGAACTATTGTTTGCTTAGGTAATTTAAGAAAGGGTAGCCTAACACCTTTTAACCAAGACAAAATACGTGTATCTTTGGTAAACTGTAACCAGCGAGCTGTAAAATACTTTAAGTCCTGCAATCTTATTTACCTCTAATACTTGCGGTATTTCTTCGCATTCTTGTATTGACCCAGTCGAGGATATTCCCCCTGGCGATTGTACCGAGAGTTGTACTGCTTGCTGGAACCTGGATTGCTGGGATTCTGATTGCTGGGATCTTGGCGATATCGTCCACCTAGTTTGGCTCCCCGTTGATAACTGGATCGACTTCTGTAGTTTAAAGTATTTTTTGAAATAGTTTTCTTTGGCTGTGGCGCTTTAACTATTTTCAATTGCTTGGATGAAAACTGTAGACTCTTTGCAGCTTTTAATCTTTCTTCCAAATCCTCCCCGAAGAGCCATTTATCAACAGGAGAATCAATTAGAGTCTCTTTCCATTCCTTATTCAAGTTTAGTATGGCAAGCTCCTTTCTAGATACACTGAGTGTATGGTGGACATCCGACAAAAGGCGTCCCGCATCGCTTAATTTTTCTATTAGTTCTGTATTTCCTCCCTCTGTTTTCAATAAGTCTGAAATAACAGTTGCAATTGCAGATAAGCCAGATCCTACTTGAGCCTGCTGACAACTGAGACGAGAATCTCTTTTTGCTACCGAATCCACAATAGCTTGTTTAACCACCGCATTTAGCTTTGGGGCTCCAAAACTATGGGCATTCTCCGGAGGAGGGTACTTTTTCATAATATCACGCCTCTTTTCATCTTCCAATCCTTTCTTAATTACCGTTTTCCATCTGTCGGCTACATCCTGTTGGATAGAGGGGCCCTTAGTTTCTGGCAATTCCACTTCGTCCCCCAAGGCTAACAATATGTCACCATTAAGTTCGCCAACATTATTTCCCTCATTTGTTACATATTGATCAATGGTGTTCTCCGGAATGCTGAAGTTGCATTAATATTGGAATATAATGTGGCAAAAATTCCAAAAAAGTATATATACACATATATACACATATATACATATATACATATACACATATAGATATATACACATATATACACATACATTCAAATGTATTAAAAATGACACATAGTTATAATCCAACAAAATGTTTAAATCAGGCCTACTATTCATCTGCTGTCATAAACAGAAAACTTGACATCATAATCAGTTTAGCTCAGGTATACGTTTGTTATCATAAACAAAACAAACTGATGCCATAACCAGTTTTTCTACGTTTGTTATCATAAACAAAACAAACTGATGCCATAATCAGTCTTGACCAAAGCGTATGTAGAACAATCAAACTAATACCCCACTTAAGTATGGACCAGTGGTATCATAACCACTGAAATTATACACCATGAAGGAATTAAGATAATCACCTTCTCTTTTTCTCCTATATCTGATCCACCGTCAGCTTCCGATCCTGAATAGGAACGCCTATCATACGAGTGGCTATCGGATCCGTCCTCGGAATTAGAGGTTCCCGATGAACTGCCATGATGCCATTGCCTTGGTCTTTTCTCTTCCATCTTATCCAATCGCTTCTCCAATCTCTTGACAATTTTCAAAAACTTTTCCCCTACAGTGGAAGGAGAAGAGCTACGACTCCTCTTTCTAGACCGCTTCGGCATAGTTTGAACACTTGAAAACACAATTATCGAAAAATTCACCACTAAACGGTACGACGGCGACGAGTTGATTTCTGCGCGGCAGTTCGCCCGTAACCTTTCGCATACAAATGAAGACTGAGTACGATGACGGCAGCGGGGAGCGGCGGGAGGGGTTATGTTTGCTTTGAAATGTATGACCGATTCGCTAGAGATGGAGATACTACGTATTACTATTTTTCGAGACGGGGCCGAATATAATCCAATTTTGTTATGGTTATTTAGAAGTATGCATTCTACGGATTTGGAGAATTTCAAGTAGCTGCATGAAATTATCGTCGCATTACCAACAAGTTCCCAAACCTGCATTTTGCCTCGTTTTTCGGCCATAATATTTTTGCAATTAGTCGGATCGTTTTTCTGTGGTCTCATTTTATAGGTTTCATAAATAGCTAAAAGTCTTCCATGAAAAGTTTTTTCGTTCCTCTCAACACTTTCGATCGAATCCCAAAAAACACGTTTTCTCATTCTTTCTTGTCAAATAAAAAGTTTTCTCACAAAAATTGGTGTACCCATTTTACGCGTCCATGTTTTAAACACCCCTTTAAACAACTTGCACCGATTGTAAAGTCTAGTAATTATTATTTCGGGGGAAATTTGCTAATATTATTAGACTAACAAACGGACTATACTCTTGGATATTCATAGTCAGATTACAGAGGATAACTAAAATGCTCTTTCCTAAAACGAAACATCGATTATTTAGGCTATGGTGTCAGGGGTAGGGGAATTGAGCCTAATGGAGAAAATGTAGATGATGCCCAGTATCTAACAATACTAAGCAAGTACAGTTTATTGTTTTCTTACTAGTTATTTTAGACGCTTCATTCAGAACTTTTCACTTGTAGCCAAGCCTTTGTATGAGTTAATGAAACAACATGCCCAATTTCAGTTGACGGACAGGCATTCACGGGCCTTTGTGACTTTAAAACAGAAATTTACATCAAAACCCACTTTGTCAATCAATTCTCCTCGTGCTTAAATGGAATTACACTGCGACGCGAGCATGCACGGTTTTCGAAGTATACGTATGCAAAAACAGTCAGATGGGAAGTGTCACCCAGTATTTTTTTTCAGTAAGTGTACCACAGATTACGAGATGAAGTACCATAGCTATGAACAAGAATGTCTAACTGTTGTTCATTCATTGAAACGTTTCTGAGTATACCTCCAAGTAATTCACCTCAAAATTTACACAGATTGCGACAGCTTTCGTTTGACTTTATCCAATGATATCATACCTCGAATAATGCGAAGGTGTCTTGAACTGTAAAACTATGATTATGATTGAACGTAGACCCACCGACACGTGTATGTCCGTTCAACATGTTCGAAAGTGCTGCATGGCGTTTAGCGACGGTCGGAATTAAGTATATGATGAAGAACGGAACGGACGACTCAGTTCTGGAGGCGGTTATCGAAATGGTCGAACGCGAAATGCTTCAAAACAGGAGGGTCGCCATCCGTGATCTTGTTGCTCCGATTACTAGGAGCTCACGGACGGAGGACTTCCTGCCGATCGGCACTAAACTCCCTGCACCACTTGCGGACGTGTTGAACGGTCATAAACCTGTCACCATACACCTGTCTTCTGACGATGAAATCCAATGGATGAAGTCCTTTTGGCGTGCATAAAGCGAATTATGGAACGATTCTCGCACTTGGCGGCATCAACAGTAGGAACCTTCATATCAAGCGGCTGCTGCGCCAAGAAAGAGCGCCGCGGAGAAGCGCGGCAGGGTAATAATGAGCGGGGGATCATCGATTTTGCCAGGTTTCACCTCGCACTGTCCGGTATCACTGCAGTTCTTTGGGAACCTTAATTCTACATCAACCTCCGTATTTTCACCACAGTTCTTTGCGGCTATATATGGTTCGTTCTGACTAGCTTGACTAGCTAATGCAAAACAATTCACACAAAGACGTTGGCTTCGGTAGGAAGTTCGAAGCAGTAAGAGGTACGCCCGTCACTTGACAGATGGGGTGATTTGAATGTCCCTAAATGCTATGAAACGCTTGCACGTAACGTGAAACATGACACGCGTCGGACACACTTCAACTATCGCTCGTTTTTAAAATACACCAAAGGAAAAGGACAGTCGGCGTCGACGCGGCAAACAGATACTCTGCGTCTAGTGGCACCGTACGTGCGTTCATTTTCTGAGGCCCGTCCATTTGAACGGAAAGTATTAGATATATAGATAAATAGGCTTTATTTTATGAAGAATACATTCATTTTTAATGACAAAGCTAACTTGGAACTAAACTTAACATAATTACATATGGGGATCTTAGTACGTGAACTGAAACACTTGCACACAGTATAATATGGGTTACATAATAAAATTTTTTCAAGTTCAGGGAGGGATATATTTATATCGTTAATTCTTTTGATAGCATCAGAAAGACGCATGTACATTTCTTGACCTCCTTTCCCCAACTACCGCTGCATACTGCACAACGCGGCAACTCCGAAACCACACGGAAGAAGAACGTGAAGGGCAGCAGCCATAACGAAGAAACCGACGAAGACACACGCCGCCATCTAACAGTTTTGTTAGAATAAAATAGATACTCGCAAGGATTATAAAAAACAAATAAAATCAACAAAAATATACAGTCCACTATACTTCAACAATATTTTCAGCCCATTATAAGTGATTGAGTATTTCACGAGTGTTGATTTAGGTACTACTGATTTAAGGTGTTGTTTTCGTAACTTATATTTAATGTTTCAAATCTAGATTTATTTTTAAAAATAAATAATGATACGACAGTCATTATTTTAAGATTTACAAATAAAGGCTGGAATGTAGCTCTAGTTCTTTAGTTATATATCTAATAGTTCGTTTTTGTAGAATAAGCACCTTTTTTAAACAATTTTAGGAACATACACACCAAATGGGGATGTTATATGTCAGTTTACTTTCAAGTAAGGCAAAGTAACTGTAAGGCTATGCTTTTCCCTACATGGTAACTAATTGTTCTTGTAATAAAGAAAATATTTGCTAGTTAAGTAAGCAATTTGTTTACATGATTAGTAAAATCTAATTTACGATCAATGGTCAGTCCCAAAAATTTGATGGTGTCTGTTTTGTATATAAATTCCCTATTTAAATGTATAAAATCAAGGTATTTAAAAGTAATAAATTTTGTCGTATTAATATTGAAAGTCAAGTAGTTGTTGTCACTCCATTTTTTGGTCGATGGTATCTCACTATCAATTTTTGTCTTGATTTCATTTATATCAGTCTTGCCAAATTGTTGTGGTGCCATCAACAAAAACTACGAATTTACCATTTATGTTTGAGTTTATTGAATCATTGATATAGACTAAGAATAGGATCGGACCTAATACCGATCCTTGAGGTTCACCTGTGTTTATATTCAATTTATTTGAAATGTAATGTCTTGATTATTTTACAATTGTTGATCGATTATTTAAATATGTTCTGTGTATTTTATAAAGCGAGCGTCAAGCCGACACGCGTCCCGTGAACTTCCCTTTACATCCAGTTTTGACATCTATGGTTTTTTGTCACATTTTGACGTGTTGAACTATCGTGGAAAATATAGAATGCCACATTCCTAGATCTAGTCTCTACATTATTGACGCTGGTACATATTGGCCCATTGTGAAGAGCTGCCATAATACAGTTCTTGCATCATGGACGATTATTTAAAAATGTGTTGTTTTCTAGGTGATACTGGGTTGGCTGGGCGATAGGCAGTGGGCCAATGCCGGCATAACATACGCAATTTGCATGGGCCTGTGCGGAGGGGTGATTGCCTTCATACCCCTGGTAACCGATTATTGGTCCCTTCTATTTCTCTCTGGGGCATTTGGATTCTTCATCGCAGCCAACTATTCACTCACCTGTATTATTCTCGTAGAACTGATTACTTTAGATAGATTCACGAATGCATACGGCCTTCTGTTACTGGTTCAAGGCGTAGCGAACCTGTTAGGACCTCCTTTAGCAGGTAAGTTATCTGAGTTATGTAAACTTTGGGGGCGAGATGATTCTATTAGATAGCTCTTACTAGGCACAGTGCGGAACGAGGTACCCGCCTACATGAAAAAGAAGTATTGTAAACGCGAAAAATTTCGTAAACGAGATATTGTGTGTTTTTTTTAAATTACTTGACATGTAATTCACGACAAATCATGTCACTCATTTCCGTCGGTATGTCTGTCTGTCTATCTGTCTGTCTCTCGGTCTGTATGTCCACTAATCCTTGGCCCATCTATAACTTAAGAAGTACCACTTGGAATTTCATGAAATTTCCACAAAAGGTTGCTACTATGGCAAGAATGGAAAAAAATAAAAATCGCTCAAACTTCATTTTTTGATGTTTCAGGTGGTCCTTATCATTTTCAGAAAAAAAAATGAAAATATATATGAAATTTTTTTGATCTTAGTATTCTTATATACGCTTCCAATCCCGGTAATTCTATGCACCTATTGCCATATTTCACACATCATAGATTTCCCCGGACATTAGCCTTTGGGAAATTAACGTTTAAAACCTGATTTAAATGTGTACTATATAAAAAATAAGTGAGGTTTTATTGTTTTAACACACACAGTTTGTACAGTGCTATTATTAATCCTCTGCGCTTACTTTTTAAATCAATAATGTTAGCTATATGGAATTCGAGGTGATGAAACGCATGGCTACTATAATTCAGCGTAAGAGCGTTAATTGAAAATGCCAAGATGACACCCAGTCGCTATCATGAAAGATTTTTTTTATAAATCCTTTAGGTATAGCACTAAAACATACATTTATTGTCTTTCAAAATGGCAAATCAGTGAGCGGTCGAAGTTGGGCGTTTTTACAAGCTTTTATGCAACTTGACCAGTTGTTGTTAGTGTGGGACAAATCTTGGCACAATCACACAATTTTGAACCAGTCAACCTTAACCAGTTGATTTGACATTTGTGCACACGTTTGATTTGCGTGACTATACACGATGAATTAACTACTGTCATGTTGCTCTGTTGCGGATGCTACAAAATGCCGATTTATCATTTTTATAGTAACCTTTATGATGCATATCAAATGAAAGGGTTTGATAAGAGAAACGTAAAAAGCAAAGAGATATTCTAAATCCAATATGGTGGCCGTCTCAAAACGGCTATTTACATTTTTCATAGTTACTTTTGTGATATGGATATTAAATGGAAGGGCTTGGTGAGAAAAACACTTTAAGCAAAGTGACGATATTATAAATGCAATTTGGCGACCGCCACTAGATGGCGTTTATAATTACCATAGTCACCTCACCACTACGATATAGGTATCAAATTAAAAGGCTTAAGTAGAGAAACATAGCAATCAATGTGACGTCATTCAAATTCCAATATGGCGGCAAATCAAAATGGCAATTTTTAAATTCCATAGACCCCTATAATATGGGTATCAAATCAAAGGGCTTGATAAGAAAAACATAATAAGCAAAGCTACGCCATTCTAAATCCAATATGGCGGTCGCCGCTGACTTGCGATTTGTAATTTCTATGGTCAAGGCTATGATATGGCTGTCAAATTAAAGTGCTTGACTTGAGAAACACAATAAGCAAATAAAGTATCTCTAAACTCCATATCCTCTGCCTCAAAATATTGATATATCATTATTATGTTTTATATCTATTGAAATTTTAGAATACAAATCAAGTAAGAAGTTTTATGGATCCCTACTAATAAAATATATGAAAATTATATAGAAATTACCAAACTACTCATTTGACATCATACATATTAAAAAGGAAAAGAATCAGTAAAACAAAAAAATTAATTTTTAAAATCAAGCTTTTATTTAGCCTTTAATAAAATGAACTGAACTTTAAAATTATTCTTTCCGATTGTAAATATTTAAACGATAATGTAGCTCCTTCATCTCAAGTTTTCAAATACGAGCGTGTTACTTGTTTACAGCAGGATTGACAAAGGATGTAACATGGTTTGGCTTAAAAACTTGAGATGAAGAAGCTTCATTATCTTTCAAATATCTCCAAGGGAAAAATATTTTTTTAAATTTTTGCTTGTCGAGTAAATCAGATTAACATATTCCATCAGGAGACACCCAATTCAACTGGAAGCCATACCTGCACCTAAAGGGACATAGATATCGTGGTGCAACTATGTAATTATCGACAATTGTTTTTAGGCACAAGCGTTACCACCTCTCGGATTCTTGCCGTAGGTTACAATCTAGATTAAGGCATGATCTGTCCTCAACAGATTAATGACATGCTTAAGAATAAACGATTTTCTTTAAAAATAAAATTTAATTTTTCTTGTTACTTTTAAGGTAATTGGTCCGATCCTTCTTGGCAATATGGCTCTATCGATGTATATCGTTACATGAACTCCCAAATACAGCATAGAATTGAGCATTGAGAATACGTTAATCAATGTACAAAGATGCTTAACTTTTAAAATATATTCATGCCTCAATTTAAACGATCTATGGTACTTTAACGGTTAAGAAATAAATACTCCTAAGCAAATCAACTAACTGAACCATATTTGAAGCTGAAGCTCCGCAGGAAAATTGCACAATGGGTAAACGATCTTAAGCTATAACAATCTTGCAGGTATGAATTGGTTAACGAAGGATCATTGCTTTAATTCACTTTCTCAAAATACTAATTTTGGCAAAAACTATCGACATTGTCCCTTAGCTGTATTCTCAGGCCCTGTTATGTTTTATGTTATGACGTTCTACTCGTATAAAAGGTACGACCATGTCAAATGGGTTGTCTCACTAAGAGTGACAAGCATATATTAGGCGAGAAAATGTTCGAGGGGGCGGGACGCAACTTAAAAACGTATGACCAAGCTTAAACACACAAGCGTTCGTGCGTAGGGGCAGATTGCATATGTATGTGAGAAGGAGATGGATGTATAAAAGTGATGCCGGAAGTTTTAGTGTGACCCTCCAAAAACCCTGAAATGAACTATAAACAGTTGAGCATGTTATTCATCGCAGTGCACTGTAAGAGCTATCTATTATAGTGGGTCAGACATAAAACATCATGGTCCTTAAATGCCATTTTCTTTTGAGATACCTCGTTATTTGAAGCGGCTTGAAAGAGAAAATCACAATTGAACGTAACCTCCCTTGCAGGTTGGCTATGTGACATCACCGGCACATTCGATCTCTCTTTCTACTTAGCCGGTTTGATCATAGCCCTATCTGGTCTGATGCTAGTCATCCTGCCAATCACAAGGCGATACAAGAAGTTCAAACGTCAGGGCTCTCTGGATACTTCAATCCGGGAGGAGGAACACGTCAGGGGCCGGTCAAAGGACGATTCCTGCTTCGATTATGGCACTCGCAGGGATATAGATGATAAAGTGTAGGGTAGTATGTATAGTTTACATATCGACTGCAATTACACGTCAATATATTTCCACACAAGTGAACTTAACGAGTAGGTTCCCTTTTCGACGTAGACGCGTCTGAAATGCATCGAGGTTGTAGTGCGTTGAAGAAGTTACTCCAGAGCGAGAACTTTCCTGACAGATAACTACCCAACGCCAAAGAAAATCTTCGTATGAACATAAAAAAGATAATGTAGCAAAACGAATAAAATTATTTTGTCAATATTATGGATGTATAGAACACAATATAGTTTTACTACGGTACAGACCGATTTTCTGCACCCGAAAAGGGTTTGTTGAGTAGTAAAGGTTTGATGTTTACATCACATGATTGTAATCGGTATTTTGGTATTTGGATATTTTTGGTTATTATAGACTAATGGGGAAAAATAATTGTTACCTTGCCAATTTACTCAATCAGTGAATTTTTTTGTCACAAAAGTTCCATAATTCTATGGAATGCCGGATTTTTCTAACGACTTTTGGTAAGTTAGTGCTTTACAAATGTCTGATATTTGAGCTAAGTTCCTGGAATGTATTCTTAATTTATGTGTTGTGGCTGCCAATGATATTTTTTTCAGTTTAATTCATTTCAGTAATATTTTTTAGCAGGTATTACGATTTAAATGCAATCCAGGTTTTGTCTCTGTCATTATAGAATCTAATCATTATTATACGAGTACAAGTAATTATATATTTCGTTGAGTCATACAAAAAGTTGGCTATATTTTTATATTCCTATTCAGCCTGTGTTCTGTTATTTATTATTTAAATTCTTTTAAGTTTTATAGATTTTATCTATTTAGCCATTTCATATTGCGTGCTATGGCTAAAGCGCAACTATTGTAGACGCTAAAAGCGATTTTTCTCAACATACTTGATCATGATATTTTCTTGCCTACTGCTTTATTTTGTTAGACTTGTTGAATACATGATTTGGAACATACACCGAAGGTACAAAACATACCAAACCGTTAACGTTTTAGGAAGATAGAGGGGTTACTTATAGCGATTGGTCTTTAAACTGTTGCCAAATTCTTAGAAATAATTCCCCAGATGAAGGCTTACTTTTGTGTATTTGTTTGAACTGCACTGCTTTTATCCAGATTTCTCGATGACGCAACACTATCACAAAAAATCTGTATAGCTTCGAATCTTAGAATATGAACTGTACGTAGAAATAGTTTAAAAAAATCATTCTACATTTAAATATTTGTTCCGTTTTTATTTCTGTTTGGTGTTTCAGTAGATAGTATTTTTACTAAAACGTGAAGTAACCACCTACTCTACTTGCGTTGTTTTAAACGTTGAAGTTTTATAGAATTTATACTAAACTTTTGATAGGGCGTAACCTAGATCTCTCCTAGATTATTTTAAAAAATTACTAGTGCCTAGAGAAATTTTAATATTAACATTATTAAATTTCGGGTAAGATATGTAGAACCAACTACAAACATAATGTTCTTGTTCAGTAGCATATGAAGTAAACTAACTTATATCAGCCAAACAAAAAGAGGTAAAGCACAATTTGGAAAAAATAGTTGCACTTCACTCCAACTTCCTGCTTTTACTGCTGGTAACTTTCACTTCTATTTTCACACTATATTTGGTTGTTGCTTATTTTAGAAAAAACATCAATTATTATCGAAAACTATATCATTTTTAATGGATTTACTGTCAGCGATTTTTTAGAACGTAGTGTGACTCAGTCAATGACTACGAGTGAAAATCGTATCAGTATATCACTATAATAATACTTGTAACATAGTTGTATAATGCACATTTAAAAAAAATAGCAACTTTGCGTGCGTTTTTTGTAACTAATTTTTTCGCCATTGCACTCTGTTCCTCTCTCACGTAAGAAACGACGAACTTTACGATTATGCTGTAGCATTTGGCTCCATATTAATACCGCGTTGTCAATAGAATCAAAACTGACAGCTTTTTAGTGAATTCTCATCTGTTGCCAATTGTCCAGTGTCGAGTAGGTATTGATCTAAAGTGCATTCACCTAATTATAGTCTTACTATTGGTTTCAAGAATATATTGGTGCGAACAGTGAACTATATATAGTGGTGTTGAGATAGCTGTCTTGCGTATTGTAGACTTAAATGTAGTCTGGTATTCATTTCTCGTTCATACATCCAGCGTATTTAGCTACTTTTTGTATTATATGAACTGAAAATAGGTTGAATTGAGTTAGAGTACTGGTAGTTGGAACATCTCCAATAGGAAAAAGCTGACGTAGCTTGTTCTAAAGTTTCCCTTGCATCACCGCGAATATCAGCCATTTTTAAATTAGTCTAAGAAAGTTAGCTGAAAAAGCGTCGATCGGACCAAATAATTCCAGTAAGTTGGTATAGCTATTCCTTGAGAGATCCAGATGAGCATACTAAAAGTCCTCGACTGCGTGGGGGAGGGTATCTATTTTCAGGTATTTGCATGTATCTCGTGAACTGTTAATAATATATTTATAACTCTTTCTACATTATCTGAATTGAATTTACAACAAATTATGTCAAATACATTTCTTCTATTTTAGATGGATGTTGAAATATGAAATCTCTCTTGATGTGTCTTGACAGTGCGAGTGCTACAGGCAAAACAGCATAGATTTGAACAATTGATATGGCCTTAGAATCCGCTTGACAGCACAGTTAAAAATCAATTTTTTCAGTTGCTACAGGCGTGCTTTTTCTATTTTTTAAATGTACTAATTTATTTATATCAGCTAAAATACTGTAGCTCCTTGAAGTATTGATCCTACAGTAAAAATGTATATGGCATAACTTGTTGTAAATTTAATATAGACTATTAATGTATAAGGAATTCTAAAGATGTTATTGCAATGGTTTACGAGATGCATGCGAAATTAGGGATCTTTCCCTCCTCCCCATAGTTGGCTCACCTCGCAAAGTCGGCAACTTTCAGTGTGTTCATCTGGACACCTCATGGAATAGTTTCAACAATTTTCAAAACTTCACAAATTATTTTGTCTGATTTCCTTAATTTTATCAGGCTATATTAATAAGCCTACAATTAGTATCTGGCACTTGGTATCAAAGTATTACCACCTACCACAACTACGTCTTTATGCTAAAAAAATGAGTAGCGGTAAAGAATAGAAATCTAAATAGGTAACGCTCTTGAACAACTTAACGTACTGTTATTAAATCTGAAATCAGAAAAGTATGTAAGCTATGTATGTAGCTGTTTTTGCTATTTCAGTAACAACGTATACACGTAAGATAAAAAAGTTTGTTGTAAATATTTCCACGTAGGCTGTGTTAGCATTATTCAGAATATGTAGAATAGACATTCAGTAAAAACAGAACCGTTTAGATTCACATAGTACAGGATATGTTGTCTTGGGGGCACCAAATTTAAGTCTTTAACGAATAAAACCTTTAAAACGACACTATGACATTCAACAGACGTCTGTTTGATAGTGGGATATTTATTATCCTAATGCTTGTGATGTCTCTATCAAAAGATGTGTACCAACAGACATTAAATTTATTCGATATTTCAATCCATAACCTCAAGATGGCAAGTCCTCTGTTCATTACAATCATGCACCATTTGTAACCGATATTATTTTTTGAATTTGTTGTCCGAGAATTTTCTGGGTGGTGCTTAAAATTCTGCAAAGTTTACGTGCCACTCATAACGTTTTCCAGAATTACAAGCGAAACTGTGATTACAAGATTGCAATTTGCAAAATAGGTATTTTAGTTTCTAATGTGTAATACGAGTATGTCGTTCTTCAGGGACAAGAAGATGACCCTCTTCTACTTCCAAACCATTGTTAATAAATAACTAGTGATAGGCTTTGAGTACGTTTTAAGCTTCCATGGACTTGAAATATTTGTACGTTCTTTTTTTACAGCAATTCCATCTTTCCATCGTTTCTTAAATACACTAAATTGAGGAACGTAATTCAAAAATCGCATTACGTCTATTCAGCAATTTTCGCATGAGAGTTTTCCTTTCAAGTATATTCCATATAAACCCGAAATCTGTAAAAGTACATAACTATTTTTAATTATCCTACTTAGACTAGAGATATATTGGCAGTCTCAAATGGATTTATCGTTAAATGAATTTAAGATATACGGTAAGTTAATCACTAATACCATATAACTCGATAATCATAGGAAGTGGACACTATAGGTTTTTTCACTGTTTTAATCGGTTACGTCACAATGCCATACGAAATAAGTAAAATGATTGACTAACTCTTCCATATACGTATCTTTATTTACCTTAGGGAAATTGGACAGTGCGCAGGTCGATGCTTGACGCATCTGCTACTTCCTCTTGGGCAAACATGAATTGGGTGATATAGGACTGTTATTTTCATCCACTCTTTAAAAATACTCCGATAAAAGCACAATCTGTCGACATTGTATTGCATTTTCAGATATGGCTATGTTTTATATCAAAGATCAAGAAAACGTAAACTCAAATCACAAATGAAGACTCATACGTTGACAAGAAAATGTTCAAAACAAAACTATAAAATGTATGTCTGTGAGCTTGCACAAGGAAACGTCCAAGTGTAGAGCCCTATTTCATATAGATATGTGAAGTAGATAGATGTGTGGAAGTAATTCCTGTGGTTTTACTGTGAGTCTTCAAAAACCGAGAAAAGAAATATAGGTACCTAGATATGCACCTTATGGTCCCTGAGTTGTATAGTATTAGCGGTAAAGTACTGTATATGTAATTAATATTTGTATGAAAAGGGTCGCACAAAACATCTCAAAAATCCGGCCCAAATTTGAAAATCTTTATTGGATAAATCGTACTGAGATTAATTATATGCAGAAGATAGAAGTTACGTATTTGCTCACGTGTAAGTAGGTATTATCTAAGTATGTATTTTAATATAGAGTTCTTTTAAGTATAGTATGTAGTTAAAAAAAATAAAATGACATTAAAGTTATGTACATATTTTATTTTCAACAATGTATAAAATACACGTAATATCTATACAAACTTCAACAAACAGTTGCTGGTTGACGCCTAAAAATTATATATTCGACTGGCATTTTATAACTATATGAAAATAATTTAAGATGATGATGGTACATTATTCTTTATGCATTTCCCAATCTGAGATTGAGGTACAAAAATGACATCGATAATTATTTTGTTTCTAACAGCTCGTGTTCGACTGAATTGTTCATAGTATTTCTTTGTTCTCAGCACCTTCGATGCCGTTCCGTTGCGCTAAAGTATCATGCAAATTAACAACTGATTCTTGAAGTACCCCACCACGTCATTATAAAAAATTCATTCACACACTCCCGCAAAATGCTTCTAAAACATTGTCGAGAAAATTATGGGATTTTCTTACTATTGTTGCCATAATCTTATTGAACCTTTTTTATTTTGAGTAATTGTATCATCTGCACGCACAGCGTACCTTTTTGATTTGTTGAAAAGTGAAAAAATATTTTAATTTTCCCATATTTGCCTTTTGGAGCATACCCATAGTATGATAAAAGTTCTAGTATTGTTTCAGGAATTACATTTATACTATGAAATTTGCTCGACGTTCTTTGCGAATTTCTTGTTGCAATAGTGTCAAACCTGATCCGCAAATTCTTTTATTATTGGTGAATGGGATAATTCCTATGAGTAGACCACTGACCATGATCCAAATTGCAGCTTGATAAAAAGACTGATTCCAGGATCCGGTTAAATCAAACAAGAAACCTGAAATAAATATATTGATCATAGTAACTTATTAATCAAGGGGCAATCGCTAAGGTCACATGTGCCGTTATATGTTATGTTGGGACATAACATAACATAAGTTTGAACGCGGGGCATTATTAGGCACCTATAGGAGTATATAAAAAATCAGGCGATTTAAATCGTGGTAGTTTGCCCGCCATTTTTAACAATAGCGGCCAAGTTGTACAACGCTTATTCAACACGTCTTCGTAACTACTGGACATTTTTTTAATAATCCAGTAGTTATTCAGATATCCCAAGGTTATCAATTTTTATCGGTTTGAGTTGGTATTCAAATAATAGTATTTTAAATGTTAAAATGGTTCATTGTTGTTAGAGATTTCGAACAATTAAAAGTATTATTAAAAGACAGCTAATCTTAGTATAAAATTGAAATAACATTTTAGACCTTTCAAAGTCTGGGGGGGCAGCGACTAAGCTCACGTACCCACAGTTTAAATGCGGGGCATTATTAAGCACCTATAGGAATACATATATAAAAAATCAGGTCACGTGATTGGCCGCCATACTTAAAAATGATACAAGGGTTATTCAACATATCTTCGTAACCACTGGACAGGTTTTATTTTTTAAAAGCTCATTACACTCCTTTTTTGAGGGCCAGCAGATTTTGTGATTATGCATTTTCCGAATAGTCCAATAATTATTCATTGAGATATATGCTTAAAGGATTTTGTGATTTGGTCGCCAGTTTTAAATATGGTCGCCTTCGAGCACGATTCGGATCACGTGATCTTTTTTCAGTACTCCTGTAAACATATATCAACTTCCAGAATAAAATTCAAAGTACATATCAGTGCATACGTAACCATACTGTGGTGCCTAGTGAACGTTTCCACTTTTGAAAGATTTGGAATGCTTAGTGCGATTTTGTGGAAATATTAGCGAAACTTGCGAAATGCCATACTTTTAACTGCTCATAACTGGTTTTTGGTCTACTAAAAGTGAATCACTTTGCATGTAGTAATTAGAAATCCTAGTGTATCTCAATAATTGTTGGATCAATGGAAAAACGTATTATAACAAAATATGTTTGTATTTGAAAAATGGTTAATGTGAGCCTAAAATAATTATGATCGATCCAGTGGTTACGAAGATATTTTGCACAACTGCTGTACAACCTGACAGCCATTTTTGAATATGGCAAGCGACCACGATTTAAATCTCGGACCTCGTTTTCTTTCCTAAAGGTTGTAAGTGCTTAATGCCGCTTTGAAACTAAGAACACTTATAAGTTTACATTACACCTTTCTGAGTGATCGTAGACGTTGAAAGATTTGCGATGTGTATTTCAATTTTGTGGTAATATTAGCGAAAACTGCCTTTAATATTTGTGAATACAATGATTTTATATTGCTTGATATATCTGAATAATTATTGGATCAATAGAAAATTGTGTGATCATAAATTATAATTTTTCTTAAAAAATAGGTGGAATAAACTTTAAAAAGTTATAGTTGGCTCACTGGTTAGCAAGATATATTGATTAACTGATTTATAATGTGGCTGCCATTTTTAAATAAATATGGCTTTTAAACGACCTAAATGTGCATATCGACTTGATTGTTATATACACCCATAGATGTCTAATAATACTCCGCATTAAGGGAATACATAACGGCACCCCTTAGTTGCTACTCATAGATTATATTAAGGGACCGAATTTGGTTATAACTATACACTCTCGTAATACTACTATTCGATCATGATAAACTCGTGTCTCTGCATTGAATGTACCTCTATCAAAGTTCACAAGGAATGTATCATCTAAAACATTAATGAAGGTTTACCTAAAACTGGACGGTAAAATAAATAGGGTAAACGATAATCGAAAACTTCAACATAAAGATAAAATGGAAAGATGATCATTGTATCATCCAATGTTTAGAAACGAATGCATAGCAACTGTGGATAACTAATCTACCAAAGACTATCGCACGATTACCTGCTAAAGGGGGTCCAGTAAGATTTCCAACTCCTTCACAGAGAAGAATTAGACCGTAAGCCATGGTGAAGCCTTCCAGTGGGACTAGCTCTGCCAGTAATGAGGGTAATAGCGAAAAACAACTGGCAAAAAATAATCCAAATAAGGCACTTGTAGTAAGCAATAGTATGTAGTTGTCAGCAAAGAACATTATGCAACATATGCTCAGGCCACACAGAATCAGACAGAGCGAATAGGTTTTGGCTATGTTCAGTCTGTCACCGGCCCATCCAAGGAATACCTACAATGTAATCAAGTGATTAACATTCACTATCAGGAATACGACACAAAACTTGGGAAATGGGATATGGTGGAATTGCTTGAATTTGCAGTATGCACATTATGGCCTAATGGTACAAGTCAGCATAGTCATATAGTTCGATAATGGACAATTGTTTGCTTAATGAAAACTAAAGTTGGGGGACATAGGTATCTCCCCTAGTGTTTGCTTTAAAATAAGGAGGTGTAACCTTTATACTCAACTTGTTTGAATTGTCATTGTAACCTATCAAAAGTCCAAAAATATCGGGTTTATTTTCAAAAATAGAATTTCCTTGATTCTGTACCTGTTTGGTATGTGTAAAAGTGGTAAACAGTATGATAAAGATTTGCATAAGAAATTCAGAGGTAAAAGTGTTATTACGTGCATGAGAAAATTGTGTGCAACAGATGAAAGATTATATGATTATAGTTCCTGATTGTGTATTGCTGTGTGCTCTTGGGATAGAAAGAGTTATCTATGCAAGAGATCAATAGCTAATTCAACATCAGAAAGGGCCTAGAAAGTGGCCGTCATGAACGCCTGCGGTTGGAAGCAATAGTGATAAGTCTGATATTGGAAGAGAGCGTTGGATGCCCATAGTTCAAATATAAACGTTTAAGTGATAATACTGAAGAACTATAAGTGCAGCTACTATGTGTTACATCACAATAGATTGATAATGTGTATAGTTTAATAGCAGGAAATTAAATTTTAACAGAAAACTGACATTTTATGTGTTATGCCAGTAACAATATCTTTTCGAATTTTGAAGTTTTTTGTTGCTTTTCAAGTTGTCAAATGCAAAGGCTAATAAAACATTTTTCTTATTTTAAGTATTTCGGAATAGCGGCAAAAAACTTGTTTAAAATCCAGAAGTAATTGGAGATACTAAGAATATGCCAACATGTATAATACCTGGTACTGATAATAAAGGCATCGAGTGTGGTTAACAGTTTCGTTTCTTGTGAAGAAATTATCGCTTATGGTGAATTAGATGGGATCGCGTTCCCGCAAATGGTTCTAAAAAGTATCCAAGAAAGCATTATATGTAGGGTATTGATAACACTGACAAACACAGAATTTGTGACATGACAATTTTTGGGTGTATCTTATGTATTTTGAGATACTATACTAAAAACTATTTTTCTATCACCCACAGATATTCGGTAACATCTACTTTTATGAATTACAATACGTAACATCTCATATTGCTGCATTTCTCGGCGTTTATGCGATGACGCACATATATAATGTTGAGACCTGTCTATTCCTGTTTATTATATGCGACCTCTATGTTTAGCGAGCATATTGCGTTTATAAGTAGACTAATAGCAGCCAAGTCAGTTACGTTTTCTGTGTTGAAGAGTACTGAGATGTTCTGAGTAGTGTTAATTTTTGTTAAAACGGTGTGTTGCTTTTAGTTTATTGTGATCGAGACTAGCGTTATGGACAATGCCTAGAAAATGTGTAAATAGTGCGAACAGTTTTTGTTAAGTGTGCGGACAGCTAACTTTTAAATCCAAAAAACGTACTTTTACACCCCTTGTGTTGAAAGCATACGAACTTTATTTTCGAATTAAAGTTGGCGACCAAGATAAACTATGGCTCCTCATATATGTTGTAAGACTTGTTTAACGTTGTTAACAGGTTGATTAAGAGGCGACAATCGTAAAGTGCTCTTTGTGGTACCAATGGTTTAGAGAGAATCGAGAGACCATACTACTGATTCCTGTTTTTGCCTCACAAATATTAAACGTTCTCTACCAAAATCGAAACATACTGTTAAGTATTTTAATTTACCATCAGCTTTGCGGCCCGTTAAGCATAGTGATGAACTTTCTGTCCCAGTTCCACCAGAATGTTGGCATTTGGATGAAAAAGTCGAATCCACCGATTCTGAAAGGTATGGTACAGAAAGCGTAAACATTTCCGATCCTTCGTTTGACCTGCCAGGATGTTCAACAGCGCCGCATTCGATCACACAGGGCGAACTTAATGACTTAGTTCGAGAATTAAATCTGTCAAAATCCCAGTCAGAACTTTTAGCGTCAAGATTAAAAGGATGTTGACATTACTTTTTACCGAAAACGGCAACAAGACCTCACACACTGTTTCCGTCAAGAAAGGGAGTTGATATATTGCTCCGATGTCAACAATTTGTTTGACGCGTTAGGACAGAAACATGATCCAAATGACTGGCGCCTGTTCATTGATTCCTCTAAGCTTAGTTTAAAAGCGGTATTGGTACACAACGGTAATAAATATCCATCTGTACGTATTGCGCACGCAGTTCGTATTAAGGAATCATATGAAAATATGCAAGTTCTGTTAGAGCATAACCGTTATAATAAATATGGATGTGCCATATGTGCAGATTTAAAGGTAATAGCCCTTCTTCTTGGAATGCAACTGGGATATACCAAATATTGTTGTTTTCTTTGTGAATGGGACAGTCGTGTGCGAGATCGTCATTATGAACAGGAGTGGCCACTACGTCAGGTATTAACTCCGGACCTCAAAAACATTGCTCATGAACCACTAGTTGATCCCAAAAACGTGTTGCTTCCACCTTTGCATATTAAGTTGGAACTGATGAAAAGTTTTGTGAAAGCTATGGACTGAAATGGAAGAGGGTTTATGCATTTAAAACAAACATTTCCGAGACTTAGTGATGCAAAAATTAAACAGGACATATTTGTGGGTCCACAAATATGGAAAATCATGAAGGATGATGTATTGCTTGGAATGCTTTTAAATTAGTTACTGTAAATTTTTTAGGCAATGTGAAGGCGGACAATTATAAAGATATTGTGAGTGAACTAATTTATGCGTATAAAGAAATGGGAGGTAACATGTCTCTAAAAATTCACTTTTTGGATTATCTCGATTTGTGATGAACATGGTGAAAGCTTCCATCAAGACATTTCTGCCATGGAAAAACGGTATCAAGGCAAATGGAGTAATAATTTGCTTGCTGATTATTGCCTGGACATTGTTAAGAGACACTTCAGGAGCAACATATCGCCGTAAAACCTCGACAACAACATTCTGAGATTAATGTTTATTCGAGTGTTTATTAGTACTCTTACACACATATCCTTATATTTTACGAGTATAAGCACGCAAGTAAAATGCCTTATTTGCAAGAAAACCGTGGGTGATAGAAAAAATCGAATGCTATTTCCGGCTTTTTGGGTGCGTTTTACAAAATAACCACCTTGTTTTGTCCATGTCACAAAAAATTATTTTAATTTTGTTCACCAGTCTAATCTGTGCTTAAAATGTGGGTGTAACAAGGCATAAACGTAAATAAAAATGTCACTTCTATGGGTACCTGGGTACCTTCATTAATCTCTGCTAAAATGTGTACAGTGACTTCATTGTGAATTGGAACCTAGCTCTGCTGAATACATCCAAGATTTCGTTGAATATATATAAGCGGTTGTTTGCTTATTGCATATGAACCAAGATAATACGGTATAGAAATGTATTTCAATGTGCATATAGCTTAAAATTATAATTCATTTCGATATATGATGTCATCAGCTATAAAATTAACAGTATGATGATTTTTAAGTAAAGTAAAGTCGAAAACGGTTCATTAGTAGATAGTTGTAATGGCGGGGAGGCGAAGCTTGCAACTAGATCACCCTTGATCCTTTTTTCCGACCCCGCTGCACCGGGAGATAATGTACAACACACTGCAAATTCATCAAATTCCATTGTAGCGTCTGTCCCGTATGTTTTGTGTGGTACTCTTTGTATTTTCAATTAAATCTAAAATTTTACATATTCTTAATTTCGATGAAATATGAATAATTTGGAGTGTTCTTACTTTTCTCTATCAACGAGAGGTTCAAAATTCAAATGTGAAAGTTCTAACGCAGCGCTTTTAAGCGCACTGTCCTGATAATGTAACCCTATATCTGCTAAAGAAGTTAGGCTTCAGATATGAGTAAAATAATCTTTCTTTGGCGTTGACAGTTTAACATGAAATCTAAGGTCACGTTATACCGGGATCGAAATAAAAATAAATTCTCCTTTTCTTATTTAAATGAGTTTTCTATCAGTGTAGAGATTTAGAATGATGGTTTCCAACCCACGAGCTTAAAAGAATATAAGCTGCATTTCAGCTATTGAAAATGCTGTTTTGACTATATGGAAAAATATCTCATTCAAGCTTGCTTATGTTTTTTGGTGACATCGTTGAATTTGTATGTTTCCTTCGTATACCTATGGATATACCTACCATTCCAATTGTGTTGAGCAGTCCAATGGTGGACAAAACAATAGATGCTTGCGAGTCAGCATATCCCAATGATTTCATGTGTTCAGCAATGTAAAAGTAAGGCACTATGAACCACACAAAGAGAATAATTGTAGAAAAGGAAAGTAAGAGAAAGTGCAGTTCCAGGAAAAGTGACAGGTTCAGCAGGTTTTGCAGTGACTTGAAGAACTCTATGCACCATCTCTAAAAAAATTAACTGCAGTGATTTATGTCGAAATTACCTGCAATTTACAAGGTACAGGGTGTTCGGCTATAAAAGACTGTAAAAGATTATTTCGATATGGTCTTTTTTACCTTTTTCGTTTTGTCCTCCTCTTCCTCAACTATACAATGCACAGCATGCCGCCGAAAATTCGGACAACTAGATACAGATGAAAACTGAATGGTATCCATTTCAGCCAAAGAAACCTTGGATGCTTTCCTCCCTTTCAATGTATTCAAATAACTATGAGATGAAGCAAGTTTGTGTTTGCTTTTGACGAACGAGCTATTCTTTAGCAATGGTGTTTCTTTATTTCCTATAATAACTCCATTTTCTTCAACTTCAACCTCTTCTTCTTCTTCTGGTATAGGTTCTGGAGCCTCTTCGATAGTTAACGAGAATTTGACAGGGACTCTAGCATCGAACGATAGCTCGTGAATATCTTGGTTGGATAGCGATTTTCTCCTTAGCAAATCAGGGTAGTTTTCCAGTACTACTTGGTACATTTGGTGATTCTCGCTTAGTTGTTTCAATACTTCTAGAGGAACCTGCAAGTCATGCATCAAATAAATAGCAACTTTCAAGTTGCCATCTTTTTATAGTATCATCGCAAGAATAATGGCATATATATTTGAAACGCTTCAAAAACTATAGAGGTAAGTCTTCTAAAAATTAGATTTTATTGATAGAAACTTGTACTGTTTCCTTTAGTTGTGAAAATAGAGAACTCACATTTTCATCTTCTTTGATATAGGTTGGCAAATCAATAGTCGATCTGAACTTGTCCTTCTCTTTTAGATCTGCCGAAGATTTCACATTTTTTAAACAAAATTGGTCGTGTTTATGTTTCTTCTTTGGCTCTTTGGATTTCTTCTTTGAAACAATACCGTTAGCATGGGGCACAGCGCCATTTTTATCACTTTCTGCCTTTTTCTCTTTCTTCTCTTTCGCCCTGAAATGTACGGGAGTGTCCATGAATAAGTGGCAAGCATCTTGGATTCGTATCGTAGTACACAAAAAATAATGTGTGAGTCCTATACAAACTAATGCCTACAGGGCTTTCCAGGCTTCTGGAGGATGCTGCTGAGTATCTGATTTTGTTAAATAATCTACGAAATTTTAACCAATCAATCAGTTGACAGCATCCCCAGAAACCATTTAACTCTTTTGGTTCGTCATGGACTAGCACAGAAGCAGTATAGCTATTTTTTTATACATGGCCAAGCGATTGTATTTTTGAAAGACTTAGCAACAGGTGTACTTTTATTTGAGATTGATAAAAGTGAGTTATTTTGTGGCTTCTAACACAACTTTCGGCTGAAGGTTGATTTAATCAGTCGGATCCGCTTCTTCAGTATAATTTCTGTTTTAATGTGTACTGATGAATCGAAACTTCTCAAAATTAGATACAACGTATTAAATTCGGATTCAAATATAAAGCAATATGGAATTTAATAGACTGGTAAGAAATACCAAGTCAGTTAAAGCATATCATAACATTTGACATGTAAATTAATAGTTGCGTGAATCATTTTCTAAACTGACTATGAAACGGATATCGATGCTCTCAATAATTAAAGATCAAAGACAAATAATAGGCTTTTCTCTTATCATAGGTTTGTCCTAAAGCATATTTGACAATATGTGCACTGGTATAAACTAGCATGCTAACAGTTAATTCGAAGTACCTACTTGTTGCCAGCAAAGATGTCTAGACTAAGAATCACTGCACGAAACAGATCAGTGGAAGAACAATTATAAGTGACTATTCTGACAAACGGGTCATTGTAAAGGGGGTGCCGCAAGGTTCCATTTTAGGATCAATGTTATTTACTTTATACGTGTCGGACTTGGACCGGTCGGTCAAACATTGCGCCTTACATTCTTATGCTGATGATACCCAGCTTTATCTATCTTATGATCCCTCCTCATATGTTGATGCTAATGAAAAACTAGCAGTAAATTTAAGCGGCGTTTGCGATTGGTTTAGATATCACGGGTTACACATAAACTGTAGCAAATCGACCATAATTACCTTCCGCTCTAAGAAGAACGAGTTCAGTGGAGATGCTATAAAGCTATGCCTCAATAGTGAAGAGCTCACAAACAAAATATCGGTATTAAACTTAGGAATAATTTTTGATGAGCACTTAACTTTACATGATCATATTTCTAAGGTTGTACAGAGCTTTCTTGCTAAACTAAAAAGCATCTACAGCTTTAAGCAAGATACTAAAATTAAGCTTTGTGATTCGGTCATTTTAAGTAAGATAGAATATGGAAGTTCCGTGTTTGGTCCTTGTTCGACTCAAGCCGAAGCTTACAGACTTCAGAAAGTGGAGAACAGCTGTATTAGATATTCTGTTGGAATCCGAAGAAGGGAGCGAGTGCCTTCATTTATTCAAGAAGTGAATTGGTTGACGATGAGGCAGAGGTGGTTGGTTCACATTTTATGCTTGGTTCATAGCATTTTACTGACCAAATACCCTATATATTTAAATAATAAATTATCCTTAAGAAGTCAGCATCATGCAGCCAACCTCCGATTCATTGGTTACACCCTTAACACTTCCTATCATAGAACCACCCTATTTACTAAGAGTTTCTCTTTTGTTGCACCCTATCGCTATAATATGCTCCCCGACAGCTTTAAAGATTTATCTGTTCCACTTTTTAGGTCAAAAGTAAAAAAAAATGTTTTTGAAAATATATCATAATTCCTTATATTATTTAGTTTTTTAACTTATTTAATGGTGTATCTGTTATCTGTGACTGTATCTGATTTTTTTAATTAAAAAAATACCTATTCTTGTTATAATAGATTTTTCATTATTGTTATTCAACATTATTTATATCTCCCCAAATTTTGTATTATAATTTTGTTTGGTCCTGGTTGGTATGAAAAGCAGCTTTTAGCTGACACCCGCCAGGTTAAATAAAGGCTATTATTATTATGATAAATAGAACACTTCGCTAGAGCCGGTCTATATAATCAGCTACCAGTTGATGACTTGTGGAGTAGTAATGTGTTGGTTCTACTGGGTCGGCAAAAAGGGTCAAAGGTGGCCTAGTTGCCAGGCTTCGCCTCCCCACTACTACTACTACTACTACATCACTAGTAATATACATATGTCAATATATACCGCTCAACAACTTTTGAAAGGTTCTTCAACTGTTAGTAAATTAGATGACTGTAAGACAATGTACTTTACAACTGTAAGTTTAGGGGATTGCAGCAATATTTATGATATTTTATCTTCGGTTTGCGGCCAAATCTACAGTCTTTTTTGGGAGATGACCGAATATGTGGCCGAAGCTTACGTCGGTCAATTACTTACTCTTCCTTAATCCAATCAGGATCTCTCATAATGACACCACACACGCACATATTCAAAAAACAGCCGGCTAAAATCAGCATGGTTCCTCTCCACCTAAATTCGTTCAGTAGAAATGTGGTCAATGGGGCAAACACGATTGTACCTGAATTAACAAGAAAATAAAATAAAATCTGTCAATATCTGTGAATAATATGTGAAGATAATCAAGATTCTAACGAAAAACTTGCTTGCTTAAATTCGGTTAAATCAGAATACGCCCACTAGGGCGAAGCGACGTGAAGGGAACCGCTGCGACATTTATTATTTGCACGCTTCAAGTCTGATACGTTGTTTCCCTTCGCATCGCTCCAGTGCGTGGGTGCATCAGACTATGTGTGAAGAAACCCCCCGGAACAGTTTCGCTTCGCTTCCGTTCCCCTCAATCGTCGTCCACCATTGAAGAATTATTAATAATTCGATATTATAGGCTTTGCAATATGAGTAAGTATATGCATGTAGTCGATAACTAGCCGAGACATTAGACCAGAATTGAGATTATGCATGAATTCATTTTGTATCGTCTGTTGGTTACTTACGACAATATAATACCGTAAATACTTATTTCAACCATAGAAATGTCGATACCAATTTTTAATTCAATATTTAAAACTGCAATACCAATGACGTTGGTTTGAATGCCGCATTTTTAGCGCGCACCGCAGTGACTTCATAACTCATGATGTGTCATTTGATTGTATTTTTGGTTAGGTAGGTATCGAGTGTTTGTCATAGCATGTGATTGCAGAGCATTTATTATAGGTTATTCTTATTTATTCGTCATTGTCTGTCAAGGCGGTCCGTTGGACCTTTGCCTTTGTGTCAAAGTACGTCATTCAGTTTGTTATTCTGTCGGCCTGGTCACCCAGAAACCAGACATGAATCAAATCCAAGCGAATAACCAAAATTTCCGTAGTGTGTACCGCGGTTATAATATGGTTCAAGATGACACACTCGATGATGACGTCAGTTACTCGAATCGCTTGAACGCGTTGGTTTTAACCGCGGTTTGTTTCAAGTTGTTTATTTTAGAAAAGCGCGTATATAATTTCTGATTATTTTTATTATCACTTAATAATCGGTACTTTTTCGTCTACAACGGGGTATGGAAAGTTGAAAAAAAGAAACCTTTCATAATATTAATGGGAGGAATGTTTTACTTTTAGAAAATTTTTTTTACTGATGGTAAATGGTAAATACCAATCCAAAATGGTAAATACCATTTTCATTTGGTTATCCGCTTGAATTTGATTATGGTTAATAGAAAGCTGAAAGAAAAAGAATGGAAAAAGAGGGAGAGCAAAGAGTAAGAAATACAACTGTTAGAATCGCGTCTGAGCATTGTCAAACATTACTGTAATAACTTTGGATGCCGAAAAATAATTTGGTTGGATTTTTGTTAAAATATTATTTTATATTATACAAAATTGCGCGATTCAATTTTGTTCACAGTTTATTGCAGGTTATTACTACAAATTATATTGAAAAGCTGACAGGTCGACAAACAATGACATTGAAAACCAACGCTTGCCATTTTAAATTTGCCTGCGAATCAACCAAAAGTTGACTGTGTCACAAGTCACAGATGGTTACGTCACGCCAATAACATTGCGTTCCGACATTTTAAATTTACCGCATATTTTTTCCATCAATTAACACTCATAATTTTATAGCACCTAAATATAAAATAAGGTTGAATGCGTCATTCTATACCAATATAGACTATAAATAAAGATGATTAAGCGATATTTGAATCACATGCAATTCCCTATTACGACGAAATCCTATTCTACTGATCTTACAACTTATAACGGGTATTCGGATAAGATGGCATGCAAACGTAGGACGAAAATCTTACTATAGTACCTCTTTGTATTGAGCTAGCGTACATTTTCATGATTATAGTCAAAATATAATGTCTGAATCTACCATATGAAAAATATGGGTTCTGGCAGTGGTGTTTGCAACATATTGTCGGACACAATATTGTAAATATATTATTCTGTAGTCATTTATGGTCATCTGGAGTTAGCCCATTTTCAAGACTTTGATAGTACCACAGAATAACTTCTCTATCAGCGCTTAGACGTACTTATCACCTTATTCGAATGCCCTAAGTTTTTAACCTGAAATCGTTCATATATGATTCCGTGGTACATGAGACCTCAGATTAGGTTTTTTTGGGTCAACTTACCAAATCCAGACCCGCTGCCCGCTAACCCTAAGGCCAAGGTACGCCTTTTTTCGAACCAGAAGGCCATAGGCACGACAGCCGTGACAAATGTGAAAGCTCTACCAAAGCCTCCGACTACTCCGAATGTCAAATACAGCATCCCGATCGAATTGGCGAACACGCTCATGATAAAGCCTGAAGTGCACACCAGGCTGCCCAATATTGTCATCCACATACAGCCATATCGGTCTACCAGAGCACTGCCAATTGGACCTATAAACGTTGAGATCTATTATCTTATACATATACTTTTCGGTATGACAAAAAAACTATTTTATCGATCTTGAATTTTTTCGCGATTATTTTACTTCCTCCGCCTAATCGCAATTGAAGCAAAAAATTGGCGTCAAGTAGATCAGACAAACAGGTCCATGCAATCCCTCGAAACAAAATAAACAACCCCCACCCTTACATCTCCCACCCCCGAGTTTTTTTCCTCTAATTTTTTTACAAAACTGATCAGGATCCTCTGAATCGAAGTTTGATCGATTTTACTTTTTCTATTTTAGGCCTTTTTCCCTGCCGCCACTGGACTGATTTACAAAAACTTTCGCATCCAGTAGTAGTAGCATTGTGTGAAAATTTCATCGAAATCCAAGCGATACTTTTCAAGTTATAGGCTGCTATAAGATCAGCGGACATACCGACAGACAGACAGACCGACGGAAATGAGTGACATTATTTTTCGTAATGTACAATGTACATATCATATAAAAACATATCTCATTTTCGAAACACTTCCCCGCTAATACATTTTCAGTTTTTATTGATCATAATTTGGAGCGATTGGAATGGTTTTTAAAAATCACAAAGCTTTTTTTCTTGATCTGCGATAGCAGACTAGTGTCAAAATTTAATAATAATCTGGATAGCGCATATCGTTTTCCAATACGAATGGAACGATGTAGAAATGTTTAATGACTGACGCGTAGATTGGGTCTAGCTGAGCAGGGGTCCGCAACCTTTTGAGACGGAAGAGCCAAAAGTTACAATTTACAATAACCAGCAATTGCATTTAAAACGAACCAGCATTAATTCCAAATGGCTCAATGTTGATCTCATTTATATTTGCATTGAGAGGATTTACTACGAACTGGAGGGCCGCAACTTGCCATCAAAGGAGCTGCAAGCGGCTCACGAGCCGCAGGTTGTCGACCCCTGGTCTAGAGCCTAGAGTATATTAACTTTGAGGGCATCGATGGCTTACGTCTCATTGGATAAGACTTGAGACGCCATGAGAAGACATGGATCTTTCTCAATAAGCCGCAAATCTCTTGTGAAAATTGGACAAGCATGCTAGTGGCGGGCAGTTGACGTATGTCATATTTCATATAAAATCCCATACATCGTCTGACCAAAGTCTATAGGATCTTAGGCACCATCACCAACGCCCCATTGTACGTACCAAACGAGATCTCGATATTTCCTATGTGAGGGACTATAACAGACAGCTGTCTGACACACATCTATACTAATATCTTAATTCCTCAAAATTTTTAAAAACTGATTCCTATGCATTTTCTTTTTCACCTATTCTTTTCTGCTTTGCTCTTTTTTTCCTTCTATTTTTTCTCTTTTTGTCTTAACACCAAACAGATTAAATAGACAAAATTTATTTTTTTCACTACCAACCCGAGAAATCGCCATTATTGAACGCGAATTGCAGAACATTTTTTCTTCCTAGGTGACTACCTGCAGAGCAGATCAACAAGACTTTGTATGCATACAGGGTGTCCCAGTCGACGTCAAGCTGGAAACGGATAGCCCAAGTCATAATAGTTATCCGAAAATCTAATTCGTGAAGTTTTCAAATTGTAGGCTTTAAAACAATGTAAACATATTTACCCTGTGATGATCTTTTAGTTCCCATTGCTACACATTTCAATTTTTTCTTAGACGGAGTGAGGGACAGTGTCATTCTACTTGTGTGTCTAATAATCTGTGCATTCCACGTAGTGACAGCAATACCGATGATAGTAACGCCGCTTTTATTAATTCATGATTGTGTAGTGCCACCATGACTGTGTGCACCGTACAGGAATACGCCAACATGCACTTCATTTATGGGAAATGTACATGCAATGCTAGTATCGCAGCTAGGCTTTATCATGAGAGGTACCCAAATGCTTCTCATCATTCCGATAACCCAGTTTTTGTGAATGTGCACCGTTTACTCTTAGAGGAACAATTCCCAAATCAGGCACATGATGAAGCAATCATTTCCTTTCCTAACAAAGACGTCGTACTACAAGCAGTCGAAGAAGACTACAACCCCGGGAATATCTTCTAAGAGTTGAGTTTTGTCAAATGATGTGGGAATATTTCCGGAGTCCCTGTAACATTGTCTCTCGATTTTTAGAGAAAATTTTATGGACTGACGAGTGGACAAAAGATGAATACAGTGAACTTCGGTTATAACGTACCCTCTAGGAAGAAAAAATGAGTACTTTATAACCGGAGGAATAAATTGCATCATCAGATCCGTAATCAGTAAATTGAAAATTGTAACAGTTTTAATTGCACAAAGTGCTTCAGAATAACTTGGAATTAGTTCGTTCACTTGTTCATCATCATCGTCGCTTTCGTTATCGGAACTTTATCATTCGTTGAATAGTTGGCTCTACAACCTCAGCAATAATGTCTTAATCCGTTAAGGTCTCCGTTGCTACCAAATTATCTTCGATGGTCATAAAAATTATCTAGTTCAGGAAGATATTTTTCCACGGTAGTTACGTCTGGGCAGTGACTGATTCAGAGGCAAGTCATCATCTGAATCAAACTCGTCTTCACTAGACCAGCATGGTGAAAGCATTTTTCAATAGTGTTTTTTGAAACTTCATTCCATGATTGTGCTATTAATTTTATCGAGTCTAAAATTGTTACGTTGAAAGTTTCCTCATTTTATCCAATGCTTGGATTAGGCGATACATAAAATATCTACGATAATACGTTTTAAGGCATTTTATTATGCCTTTATCCATCGGTTGTACGACCGAGGTGCAATTGCGAGGCAAAAATTCTAATCTGATATTCGTCAGATCTACATTCTTAGGATGAGCTTCACAATTGTCAACTAGAAGCAATATTTTTCTTTTTTGACGTCTCAGTTTTTCATTCCGCTCCTTTAAATAATTAATAAAAATGTCTGAAGTCATCCATGCGCGTCTGTTCGATTTATGAATGACAGGCAAGTTTTTAATATTATTTATGCACCTCGGTCGTTCGTATTTACCAATTAGAAGAAGTTTACATTTTGCCGATGCCACTCTAGATACTTTTAATCATGTCTATCTTTTCTTTGAAACTCATAGCTTTGCGCGTATCTGTCATTTTAACAAAACAATGAATACTGAAACTTCGCACAGGTAAATCCACCGTCCAATCTAAAACTACCTGACACCTCCTTCGGCGATATAAAAATTCCCAGAGTCGATTACGTTTGTACGTAATATGACTACAAAGTGGGTAAAAATATTGAACGTTATAGTCAGAGTTAAAATTTTAATCAGTACGCTATATCCAGTAAAACTACAAGACTATTTGGGCGGGTCCAATGAAATAAGTACGTAATAACCGGAAGTACGTTATAGACGGAGTACACTGTATACACAACTTACACGAGTGGCATGCAGAAAATCCACTTTTGATGAGACAAGATAGATCACAGTATCGTTTTGAAGACGTGGACCGGGATTCTAAATGGGAGAATCATCATATTCTTTCAGCTGAGATAGAGTTCTTGAATGGCGAAATTTATTTAGACTTTTTACAAAATTATTTGCCGAATTTATTGGAAAACGTACCACTAGGCATTTGCAGAGACATGTGGTAGCAGCAAGACGGCTGGAGCAATATGCCCGTTCAGTTAGAGAATATCTTTATGCGGAATACCCGAGCTGATGGATAGGGCGGTTTGGTACACTTTTGTCGCCAGCCTGTACACCTGATTTAAATCCACTCGATTTTTTTTACTGGAGAGGGGTGAAAGAAAATGTTTACTCAAAGCCAATCGAAAATTTAGCTGAGCCACGGGACAGAATAACAGAAGCAGCTGAATTTGCTAATAACGGAAGATCCGCTCGTCTGATAAACCGAGCACTTTTAAGAATATGTCAAGCTTGCATTGCTGCTGAAGGAAGGCAGCTTGAACATTTATTGTAAATCTAATAAATACATTCACGAATTAATAAAAGTGACGTTACTATCTGTCTTGCTTTCACTACGTAGAATGACACTCCGACTAAGAAAAAATTGAAATCATCTCAAGGTGTCGATTTTTCCGATTTTTTTGAGGCCTATAATTTGGAAAGTACGCGATTTCTGGCTTGGCCGTATCCCCCGTTTCCGGCTTGACGTCGACTTCTGGGACACCATGTATGTATATGCATAGACAGGATTGAAATGGACATGTTTGCTTTCAGTCTCTGTAACCACGACCAGCCGCAGATATCCTTGTTTCGTGCTCATAAGCAACTTATCAGTGTGGTACAGGTCTAGTAGTTCTAGAGACAGACGAAAAGCAAACAAATCCGTATGGTCGCTTGAAAAACTCAGAAGACTGTGAACAATTGGTACTGCGGCTGCTAAATAGGTCGACCATTCTGGTGGTTCGACATATTCCTGAGCATTGCGTAGAACTTCGAGCAGTTTGAGCTGGTAACGTAGGGGTTTCGTCATAATCCATAGTATGAGATGAGGAAAATCAACTTTGGCAAATCATTGGTAGGTACCGAAGAATAGTGAAAAACTGCTTTTAAAGTTAGCAGTAGAAAACGGTAAAGCCACAGAAATTTTATTCTTTAAACTTGTCAGTCTGGCAGCAAGCAATTACATGTTTTAGACTTTTAGAGTAACTGTAAAATGAGTAAAAAACGTCAAGACTACTGATTTACATTTATAAAAGGGTAAATATAAAGCTAATACATAAAGATATCCAAATATAATAAAATCGACTACAGTTATACAAAGTGTTAGTAGTGTAAAAATTATACAGGGTGATTCATAAGTTGTGACCGCAGGACCCCATTTTAAGCGGGGACTATGTAACATTTTTTTCCTCAAGGGCGTCATTAAAAAGATACGGACGGAGTGTTCAAGTTTAAAAATAAAAAGCAATTTTTTTAATATCTTCAAATCGTCAACAGGAATGAAATAAAATTTGGTATGTGAATTTACCTAAGTATTGTCCACATTCAACAGTTCTTACTTAAAATTAAAGTGCACCAGTGGCGGAGATACAGGGGATTAGTATCATTATTTTTCCAAAATAAAATAGTACGCCAATGTTTTTTTTCGAAACGCGCAGTTTTTCGAATTTTACCTTCAATTTGCTAAAAATAATCACTGTTGCGTTTTTTCCTAGAGGTTTCGTGAAAATAAAAATAAAACAAATTATTAGATCAATCATACGTATACAATTGGTTTCAAAATAAAATAGGCCTTGATATCAACTTGATGTTTGTTGGGAGATAGTATGTCAAAGTTATGTGTTATACGGTTGTTATCGTTACTACTACCATGTTTTTGTAAAAATCAAGTCAAAAGTTTATTTTTTCCATTTTTGAGTGTTGTGACATGGAATTTAGCAATGATGAGTACGCCGATATTATTTTTGGGTACGGGTTCTGTAATGGAAATGCTTTAGCGGCTTCTCGGGAGTATCAACGTAGATTTTCTAACAGACGCCAAACTACCCCAAAGGTTTTCGCGCGTTCATTTTTAAGACAATATGGAATTGCCGAACTCTCCGGAGTTAAAGGCCATGGTGACCGGCATTCTGTTCAAGAGGAACTGGAAGTGATTAATTTAGCGCTGGATGATCCTAGAACAAGTACTAGGCGGATTGCAGTTACCATGTTCCCAAAGTCTTGCGTGGATAATTTTAAATCGGGAAGTTTTACATCCTTACCATCGGCAAAATGTGCAACTCGACGACGAAGTGCAATAGCGAAATTTTTGTGAGTGGTTACTGCAAATGCCAAATCAAAATGCAGATTTTATTGTTTTGGTTTTGGGGTCAGGTGAATCGCTTTCAGCACGGACTTTCTAGAAATGTCTGGTGCGGCATTTTCAATGGCCAGCTGTTCATGCACGAATTGCCACCACTTTTAAATGCAAACTCATACTTAGCTTTTCTAGAGAATTAATGTGTTAGAATCTAACAGTTAGATGATGTTCCGACAGCGACGAGAGTACGAAAGGGGTATCAGCACGACGGTGCCCCACCGCATATTCGTCGTGACAGAACCGCATGGTTAAATAATCATTTTAGACAACGATGGATTGGCAGAAACGGACCCATACATTGGCCTGGGTGGTCTCCTGATTTGAACCCCCTGGATTTTTTTTGTGGGGCGCTTTTAAATAACTAGTATATGCTAAACAAATTAATTCTGTCGATCAGTTACAAGAAAGAATAGATAATGCGTTTCATAAAATTCAAGCCACAACAAATTTTGTGGAAATACATTTTTCTTTATTAAAAAGATGCCGCACTTGTATCCGTCAGAATGAACATTTTGTACATTTATTGAAATAAAGCTTTGATTATCTAATTGTTTTTTTTTTAGTTTTACGAAAAGAATGCACCCTGGGAAAAAATACAACAGTAATTATTGGTAGCAAACTGAAGGTAAAATTCTAAAAATCGCGCGGTTCGAAAAAACAGTGTCCTACTGTTTTTATTTGGAAAAATGATGCAACTAATTCCCTGTTTCTCCGGAACTGATGGTGAACGTTAATTTTAAGAAAAGACTTTTATTGTGGACAATACTCAAGTTAATCCACATACCAAGTTTCAGTTCATTCCAGTTGACAGTTAGATATTAAAACAATTGTTTTTTATTTTTAAACTTCAACACCCCGCATCTTTTTAATGAAGCCCTTTAGGAAAAAATGTTACATAGGAGACCTGCCTTAAAATGCGGTCCTGTGTGTAATGTTTCATTTTTGGTAACGACTTGTGAATCACCCTGTTATACACACCTCCTGAGAATGCCATTATCGATCTCGTAAAAGTGCTCTATAAACAATAAGCCACTTCTCAACCTAGGTATGTTATGTAGTATTATTTCATTTCAATATCGACTCGTCCTTATTAGGAAACCTTCTACTTTATCATTTATACATAGAACTTCAAAATAGTTTCTCCAAATAATAATTCCGAGTTCTCAATTATTCTCGAGCATCGCTGAAGGTAGTTGGTGCAAGACCTCTATTTATCAACTTACCTGCTAGTAGCGCTAAAGCCAAAAACAAACTGCCAACCCATGAAGTGGCAGATTTGGACGCTTTGAATTCGTTGAGAAACTCAGAGTACATAAGTCCAAAAGAGAAGCTAACACCTTCAGAAACAGCATTTAGAACAAAGGCTGCGAGTACCACCATCCAACCCCAGCCTCCATCAGGTATCTTTGGGTTCTCTTCTACTACGTACAACTCTACCTGTGAGGTGATGAAGGACTCTTTACCTTGGAACTTGTGGATGGTATGCTCGGATCTTTTTCTGGACCCGATCGGGACATGTGCCATGGTCAAGTTGCACTGAAATAGTAATATGAGTGGATGCAAAATACGAGGTGTCCCAAAAGAAAATTCATTTCCGAAATATTTCGACAGTGCAGCACATAATGAACGTTATGGTTTGATTACGCGGCCGTTATCTGTTTTTTTATTATATATATATATATATATTTTATGAAGCATGAAGTGATACATCTCGGAGCAGCCCATCAAGATCGACGAATTTCATTTTTAAAGTCCGGGGACTGTTATTTTACCCCAGCATCGTATCATCGTTACTTTAATTCAATGCTTGGGAACACTTGGTATCAAGAATAAATCATTCAATATTGCACCTTCATAGTGCTGTAAGATGATGTTCTGACGGGTGGTTCATGAAAATGAAGCAAAATTTGTAGCCGACGTTTACGAGATGCTATCATGCATACCTAATTTACCATTACTATAGCATATTTTTGAAACAAATTCATTTTAACGCTTTCAAATAAAACGCTTATCAAGCAGGAAATCAAATATAAATGCTTCCAAACTAATGACCCACCTCGTATAATTTTAAAATAAAATTGACTTATTTAATATTTTCTCAATTTGCTCATGTTTGTGGTTGATTATAATTCCATGTACCGCCTTACCTTTTGAATAATCCTGTATAAGTTTTTTCCTTAAGCACAGCACTACCTCTATATCACTATTTCAAATCACAATATTTGTTAAAGCTATAGTGCCGCGGATAGACCTATCCACCTGTTCTTCTTACATTTGTCTATTTTTTCTTGACCTTCACAAAATTCTTTCTTTTACTCTTCTTTCTTATGATTGAAGGATCAGTCAGCTTACTCAACATTTACTCACAAGCTGAAAAAAAAATAAAAAAGTTATATAACGTATCATTTAAAATATGTAACGTCGGAAGGTCATCAAATATGATTTTTATTACTCTGCTCATCTACATGTTATCGATATTGGTACTCGTAAAAAACAGTATCTCAATATCTATTAGTAATTATCCTACAGTTTAAAGTTAAAAAGTGGGTATGTGTATTATGTCGAAACTAATTCACATTGGTTTTAACGACGTGGGCGTATAGAAAACCGGCAAATTAAGGTGAACACAGAAAAAATATTTGCATTCTGAAAATATATACGATTTTGGTAGTTGGATATAAATACTACAGGCCACTGAAAAGTGTCTAAACCAGGGTCCAACGGCTGGTTTAACAAATCGTGTGACACTGCTCGCCAGCAGAAGATCTAGTCACACAGAACCTTCTTACAAAACCCCACTGTAGAGAACAGACAAGCCGACGTCATGTCCAGAAACAAATATGACGAAGCGGTTCGCAATGCCAAAAACCAGCACGTTATAAAAGTTAGGCATAAGGTAATGTCGCAGCGCAATAGCAGTAGGTCTTTCTGGACGCTGGCCAAGCAGATTGAAAAGAACTTCTCACACAGTAGCCTTCCACCACTTACGTGTCAGGTTGGAACTATTGTATTCGACTCAAAGACCAAGGCGGAAGTGCTAGCCAAGATCTGTGCTGCCAACTCCACCATGGGCGTCCCCCCAACGCCCATGTGCCGTCAACTCAAAGGGTTCCCTACACTATGCGGGAGGTAACATTCAGGCATAAGACCGTAAGACGAGTGTTCTTGTCGCTCGACATCAACTAAGTTTCTGGTCCGGACTTGATTCCTGCCATTGTACTGAAGAGGTGTGCAGTGGAGCTTGCTCCAGTGGTTTCGCGTCTCTTCCAGATATCTTATGAATCCGACACCTTCCCAGAAAACTGGAAATTTGCTCATGTCCAACCCATCCCAAAAAAAGAATCTAAGACCGACCCGTACAACTACAGGCCTATAGCTCTACTTCATGTTATCAGTAAGGTGATGGAGAGGTGCATAAATCGCGAGCTTCTGGACTACCTCGAACGTCACAGCTTGATTAGCGACAGGCAGTATGGTTTCCAGCACCAACGATCCACAGGGGACCTCCTAGCTTACGTCCCGCAATTGTGGGGTAAACTCATCCAGTCTTATGGTGAGGCTCATGTCGTTGCTCTTGACATCACGAAAGCCTTCCATCCTATGGCCTCCCAGAAAAGCTTTGCAGATGGGTGGCTGATTTTATCTCTGGCCGCAAGATATCCGTCGTAATTGACTGGTTCTCCTCTTTATCCCACAACGTCAACGCGGGTGTTCCCTAGGGATCGGTCTTGGCTCCGACACTGTTTCTCTTACATATCAACGACCTCCTTTCCTGCACGATCAACCCAATCCACAGCTTCGCTGATGACAGCACTCTACATGCAGGAATTCAGAGTGACAAGCCGATCTCTCCCGCTGAGCTGGAAAAAAGGAGACTAGCGACGACTTCCTCTCCGGCAAGAGACCTGGAGGCTATCACTGCTTGGGGACGCAACAATCTTGTACAGTTCAATGCTTCCAAAACACAGTACAAAAAGCGTCCTAGCGCTCATCCGGTTTCGATGGATGGCCGAGTTCTGCCAAAGAGCCATTCATTTCGTCTGGTCGGAGTCCAGATCACCGAGGACCTGATCTGGAACGAAGACATCTCGTCAATAGCTGCAGCTGCTGGGAAAAAGCTAGGCTATTTGTTTAGGGCTAAGAACTACTTTTCTCCGCATGACCTTCTCACTCTATACAAGGCCCAAATAAGGCCTGGCCTCGAGTATTGCTCACACGGGTGCTGCCGCCCCGACTGCATTGTCCATGCTCGATGCTGTCCAGAGGAGGGCGGTCCGACTGATAGATGCCTCTTCTTTAACAGACAGTCTCGGGACTCTTTCGCACCGGCGGGCCGTCGGCGATCTAGCTCTTTTCTACCGCTACACGAACGGGCTTTGCTCCTCAGAGCTCTCTTCCATGATGCCGCCCCGCGAAGTGCCTGCCAGTCAGACCCGTCTGAATTTGGCGTCCCATCCTAACCGTGTCGAACTTCGTACATCCAGAAATGGCCGATACGATCGCTCCTTTGTCCCGAGGGTGTCGAGATTGGGGAACAATCTACAAGAGCAAGCCTTTCCCAGCTCTACTAACCTTAGGCAGATCAAAAATCGTATTAACAAAATTTCTTTGCCATAGCAGCCGCGGTGTTCCGGCATTTAGGCTTCTGCCGCGCAGGCTGTTTCGATATAAAAAAAGAATACAGAAATGTACAAAATTGTGTCCGTCTACAAATCCTCCGGCTCATCTACCGGAAGTCGGTTTTCGCTATGGTTAAGTCTGTCCTGTATAGATGTTGTTCAACTGATTCCTGACCGCTCTTACTTTTTTGTATGGACCAGATTTTTAAAATTTTCCAAACTTATGCACTGTTATTAAGATATTTTTCTCTACAGGACGCATTAAAACACTTTGGGGGCAAACTTCATTGTATCAATACTTCTACTTGATTTTTTTCTTAGTAAAGGGGATCAGGCGCACCTTGTGCACAGGCCTTTGCTTGAATTAAACTTTGTTTTTTAATTTTGTGCATCTTAGTTCTCACGGTAAAATTACCGTAACTTGCGGTTGGACTTATGCAACAGACATACGTCCAAAATATGAAATTGGAGAAGTCTTGCTATTGAGCGTTATCAGCAACTATCTCTTTTTTTATATATTTCGACTTTACATATTTATCTAATCTTATTTTATATTGAATTTCAAGTATAACCATGCTGTCTGGCATTTTTGGCAGCTGATATAGGTTTTGAAGCCAAAGTAGTAATAATAACAGATAATCATACATTCATGTTTCAAGATAATTAAAAAGATTGCTTTTTGAAATAAAATAAGGCTCTCCAACAGTAAAAAATGCTTTATGTGTTCTGAGAAATAGAAATGCGACTATAAATGTTAATAATTTTATTTCTGTTAACTAGTTTATTTTTAGAAGTATCAACTTATATGAAGATCACAACCAAATTGGCGGTAAGTCATTCATTTTAGAGATGCTCGTACAAGAATTCTGTTCAAAATCGTAAATTATTATACAGGGTGACTTCGAAGTTGGGTCATTTATTTTAACAGTGAGTAGATCTGATCAAAAGAAATGTTTTTTCCTTTAACATTTTTCTGGTAAAATTAAAGTAACAAAGTTATAGCCCTTTAGAAGTTTGAGTACCGCCCTGTCTCAATAATAATATTATGTGCTCGTGTTTGGCAACAACGGATATAATCCGGTTATCGGTTCATCGCATCGGAAACAAAAAAGCGAAAGAATTTGAAACGTTTATCACGATGTTTTTCGTCAGTCGGTAACGCGTGAGTGAATAGTGGTGTTTGTTGCGTGACTCAAACGAAATGAAAAATGGCACATGTTTACGAAAATGCTGAACTTGTGGACATGATTCTTATTTACGGAGGAGGAGTCTTTACAAAATGCTGCCGCGGCATCACAGATTTGTGCGAATCGGTTTCCCTATCGAGTGCAACCAACCCCTCGTGCCTTTGTTAATGTAGTACAAAGGGCTCGTGAATCAGGTGACTTAAGACCTCACAGTGGAGGGCATGCCGGTGCTCCAAGACCACACGATCAAATACAGGGCCGCACTGAAATACTTGTCGGGAGGATACTTTATAAAACAAGATAACATTTTTTTTTTAATTTTTTTTCATTTTTACACACATATTTTGGTTTATCTTCCTTCTACAATCATTATCTGAAAATTAATGACTCAACTTCAAAGTCACCCTGTATAGAAATCGTTACTGTAACGGTTCATAAATTTTAGAATATAACATTCCAATGGTTACTAAAAGGGACATAATTGTCTATGAAAATAGATGCACACATCATCACCATTATCACTCATAATCACTATATTCAACAAATGCTAGTTACTGAGGTGTAAGCACTGGTTTAAACTATACCTAGTAGTTGTGCGAAAATTTTAACGTTGAAACTAAATAAAATTATCCCATTATACCTTCAAAACCGCCTAAATTTTGAGAATCTTGATTTTCAGCAGAAAAAATGTTCTAGATGTGCTATTATAAAAATCTTACTACTCCTAAGTTAGAAAACGTATGACGCATCTTAAAACAACCATCTTTTAACCAAATAGGAAACTAGTCTTGTCGCAATGCTTTAACCAGTTAATTCCGTATTTTATAAAAAAAACTTGACTCACCTGTTTTTTAAAGGTAACACGGTGATAAACAAAAAAATGGCGTCATCTTGGTTGACTCTACTTCCTACGCAACGCTGTCATCAGATCGTAAAGGATTATGTCCAACACACACTAACCCTTCTGAGAAAAAAACTACGAATATGCATGACAAAAATTAAATGGATCAAGTCAGCCAAACAGGGTCATACAGTTGAAATTTCCATATTTTGGTGCTTTTTAGGATTCGGACCTCCTCACAAAAAATGCTGCCCCGCTTTTCAAAAAGTAAAAAGTTATCACTTGCAGACAAATGACCCTCCCCTCCCCCTGCGGGCGCACGTGATCGTTACTATGAATAACCCCGCGTGGATTACGAATGACGATATTGACTTACACAGCTGACAGCAGTACCAAGCGCACATATCGACACGCGATTTATCAAATTTTAAAGGTAAATATACGAGGAAATCTATGATGAGTAAAGTATGTCTAATAGGTGCGTAAAATTACCAGAGTTGGAGCCGGGTATATATACACCAAAAAATAGAGTTGTATCGCTTCACCTCCTGTAACCCCTAACCACCAATTTTTAACCTCTTAAAAAGTTTTTCCGAAAATAACCTGAACCTCTGAAACGAAGTTTGATTGACTTTTTGTTGTTTTTGACCTTTTTCCGCCGCCCCTAGACCAATCTTCAAAAACGACAAAGCTTTTTCATCCTTGGCATAGTAGTAACCTTGT